CTCTCTCTCTCTCTCTATCTCTCTCTGTCTCATGAATAAATAAATAAAACATTTTTTGAAAATAAAGAATCTTACATTTTAATTGGATATGTAAAGTGGATTTATAGGTCTTAATGTTCTTTAAAAAAGAAATCTTTGTTATCCACTTTGACAAATTACCTAAGTTTATAGTTTGGAAGAAAAGAAGATATACAAGAAACTAACACAAAAATGGGCTTTCTCTTTAGAAAAGAAAAATGTGGAATACTCCAAAATCAGTACTGTGTATATAAAATTTTATAGAAATGGAAATTCTAGCATTTCTGTACTTACAGAATTACAGAAAAGTGGGCTACAAATAAATGAGTCAGCAAAAAAATTTTAAATTTTGGTTATTCAAATCTGAACAAGTCTTTTGGAACTCATATGCACCAACTTTAGAGCCAAAGTTTAACACAAATTGAAATTGTTTGGAAAAGCCAGCATTTGTGGATAATAAAGGAAATGTAATGTTACAGAAATGCCAGCAATTATTACACAAGGAAATCAATTCTTCCTAATCAACAATAACCTCAAAGTTTCAGCCTTTAAAGTTGTCTTTTTTGTTGTTGTTAAGAGAATTTAGTAAATAAAATTCTGAGATATGATGAATTTCATTTTTTGAAGATTTAATTTTAAAAAAGATATTCAGTAAGAATGCATGTCTTTCAATTTGGTTCAGCCTAGGTCCTCTCCAAAAGTGGAGCTGGAGATAAAAGCTTGTAAACAGCTTATTTTAGGAAATTATTACAAAGAAGAGGAGAGTGGAAAACTGGCAAGACAAGAAAGGGAAGAAATATTGACTACTAGGATAAAATACTGAGCAACATTATTATTGCAATAAATAGCTGGAGGTCAATTCCCCTAAAAAGCCTTGTAGAATACACTTCAGAATTGCCTACCCAAGACACAGAATCAGGAGCATTTATCTACCAGTGCCTATCCAAGAATTAGTCAAGGGTTGCACCATTGCATGTTTACTCCTCCCACTTCCAAGTTTGGTAAGTATCAGAATGGCTCATAGGCATTTTATTCATTGGCACTGGAGAAGCCTGAGACTAGACAGAGAAAGATATGTGATGCAGATGAAATGAGATGTCAGGTTAAATCCACAATGACTAGAGCAAAATGGTAGGTCAGGAGAATGTGAGGTGGGACACAGAATGTGTATGATTCTTAGCTCCTGTTTTGTTAGGCTACTAAAACTAATAAGGACACTATCTTAGATGGGAAATAAAAGTTAAAAATCTATAAGTAAATGAGAATTTATCAGAAGAAAATGTACTTCACAATTTACTAAATTACTTTCACCGGGATTGCTGCCTATAGCAGAAATTCAAACATGGGGTAATATTTAAAAAGTCGTACTCTTCAAATAACTGTGCATGCACACTAGAGTATAAATATCAATATATTTTTAATATACATAATTATTATCTGTAATCTCTCTTATTATTTTTTCCTCCCTTGCTTTATAGGGATAAATTTCAATAGAATTCTTGTTTGTAATTTTTTTTAATCTTTGTTTTTTTTTTTAATTGCAATTGTCTAAGGACTTCAAAAGCAAGGGGTTTTTGGCAATCCAAAATTATTAGCCTTCCCCCAAATGAGGGGGAAGGAGAAAGGATCTAAAACAAACTCTGTACAGAGCACAAACCCCCATATGGGACAGCATTGAGATCATAACCTGAACTGAAATAAAGAGTCAGAGGCTCAACCGACTGAGCTGCCCAGGCGCCCAAGTTCAGGACATTTCTAAAGGTTTGATTGCTGCAGGGAAGCAAAAAGAAAAACATGTAGTGCCAAGATGAGGTTTTTCCCTTTCATTCTGTTTTATATTCAATTCAACATAGGCTTGGTCACAATAAAAGAAATTCAGTTCAGTTCTATATTAAAAAAAATTTGTAAATTCTGAACTTAGAATGAACTAAGGATTTTATATCCACTAAAGCCCCCCTTCAAGTTTCAGGTCTTTAGAAGAAGCTATTTTAAAGATGGAAGAGATCAGGGAAGACTGTTTTCATAAATGATTCCTGCCAACTCTACTAGAAAATAAGCTTCATCTGACAAGAATGACAGGAAACTTAAGCTGAAAGACTAGTGGAAAAAAAAAAAAAAAGACTAGTAGTAACCAGTGACAATATTTCTTAATATATTTATTATAAGTAAAAACATTTAAATGGATTTGATATACATTTATATATGAACATATATATCAATAATAAATATATTTAAATAACAAGCTAGGCATCAGGATGGAGGACTCATGTGCAAATGCTACATTTTCCAATAAAGTTGAAAAAAACATAAATAAAATCAGAGGAGAAAGAAGAAAAGAGTAGTAATCTCATTAATTGCCCTATAGGAAACAATTGAAAGTCAAAATCAGTTAGATTTGGTAGAGTAGGAAAGCCTAAGTAAGAAAAAAAGAGGCAATTAGGTATTAGTATATAGGGAACAATTTGAACAAAACCACAAATATTCCTAAATGCCAAAAAAAAAAAAAAGGGAAAATTAAAACAAAATTTATTGATATAATTTGTCTGGTGCAATACCCTATTCAAATTTGTCCTGGGACACCTGGGTGGCTCAGCGGTTGAGTGTCTGCCTTTGGCTCAGGGCATGATCCCCCATGAGGGGACGGAGTCCCATATCTGGCTTCCTATGGGAAGCCTGCTTCTCCCTCTGCCTATGTCTCTGCCTCTCTCTGTGTGTCTTTCAAGAATAAATAAAATCTTTCAAAAAAAATTGTCCTTACGGGTTTATATTTTTAATTTATTCCACAATTTTAGCAGGGCCTGAAAAGTAAGATAAATGTGTATGTTCAATATTACATGAGTAATCAAAATAATTAAGATCACTTTTTAAGCCCTGAGATTGGACTTCCCTGCTGTAGATAGACAGCTCTACATTGCAGAGCTAGGTTCTGAATCCTGGTCTAAGTCCGCAGCTTCACTCTTCACTAGTCCATACCACTGCTTTCATAACATGGGAAAAATCTTAAGATTCTGTGTAACAGTATGTGGGTGATGGGGGATGGGATGGGACCTGGATGTAAAGATCAGATGAATTATGCAATGTTACCACCACACAGTTTCTTAATTTGTGGTAGTCAGCACTGGAGTGTGGGGACAGAGTGGAAGTGTGGCGGGGAATGGAGTGGAATGTGCTCTCTGTTCTCTTAATAAGAATGATTTGATTTTGTAGTTTTTGAAATACTCAAAAGGGGGAACATAAACCTCCATATGCATTATGACTCCAATTCTTAGGAGGGTTTTGTTGATGTTTTGTTTTGCTTGACATTCATGCCAATAAATGAATGTCCAATGGGGGAAAAACTGGAAATAAATTTATCAGAGTTTAGCGTTTCAGTCCTCATTACTGGGTGATAGAATTATTGCTCTTGTTCTTAATATATTTCTGCATTTTTGAATTTTCTCCTATAAGTATTTATTATTTTCTGATTATAAAATGCTGTAGCCGGAAAGAATGACAATAAACATTAAAAGCATTCGAAAGAGCTGACTAATAATCCTGGTAATGTTGCAAAGATAGGACACTCAGGCCATGAATTTAACCACAGCCTAAACTTTCTCAATGTCTTCATCTCTTCATTTCTAATTGTGTAAGATTAATTTCTATGGTCTGTTCCTCCAGCCCATGGCTGGTGAAACTGAAAATCGGTACCGCGTATTGGAAACACTTGGCTAGATTTATCTTTAAAATCTTAAATTTGTTTTAAAAGGCTTACGCCCTTTACCCCAGTACGGCCACTTCTCAAAAGTCATCCTGGAGGTAAATCTAAAATAAGAAAAAACAAGCTACAGTTAAGTTGACTATTGACGTTTCTGTATAATAATAGTGATGAGATTAAAGGAAGAATGGTCATAGTGCTAATTCATTCAACAGAGTATCACTTCATTTATAATGATCATGAAACAGAAAAATACTCTAGTTACGTTAAATGGAGAATATATTGTATATGTGTATATCGAGATTACTACATTAGAGTATCATACCTCTAGGCATAAAAAGAGGAAGGGACCATGAAAAAAATGGCCTATTTTATTGGGCTCCGAAGATTTTGGGGCCACCTCTCATTAACAGGCTCGGGATCACTAGAAACATTGTATGGCTTTTTTACTTCTATTTAACCATTACTGGTGTTACTATTTCAAGAAGCATACTTGCTATCAAGAAGTGTCTGCTTTTATTTCAAATGTCCCAAGTTCGGGAAATATACAAGTCGTAGACGACACCCTTAGCGTGTGCCCATTTCCACGCTTTTTATAACGCACTTGATGAAGCTGTACCAGTCGTTCCAGGACTGAAGGAGTATCGGCGAACTGATCAAACGGAGCCTGACTTGAAACAGCATCCATTTACCCCGGCGCCTGGGAACAACAGTGGCCATTGCCAGCAGTGTATCGATCAACGGGGTAAGCTCTCCTGCAAGCGAGTCGGCCTCAAGGGCTCCGGGACCACACTCGCTCCGGACGCCCCCAGTAGTCCCGCGCCGCGGAGCGCGGGCGGCGGAGGCAGCGGAGGCAGCGGGCGGCGGAGGCAGCGGGCGGCGGAGGCAGCAGCCCCGGGGAGCGAGAGGGCGGCCCCGCCTCTCCCGGTTACCAGGCAACCCCGTTCCCGGCAGGGGACGCGCGAACGCCGCCCGGTTCCGCACCTTCCGCCCAGCCGCGAGGGGGCGAACTGAACCGCCAGGCCGGCCGGGGCTGGCTGTACTCGCCGCAAAAGCCGAGAGGCGGCTGTGGCGGTGGCGCGCGGCCCGCAGTCCCTCGGACGCCGGCGCCGTTCCGCCTTTAGGGCGCTGGGCTTCAGGCTCCCGCCTCCGAGGCCCGACCCGGCGCATCCCCGCGGCCGCCGGGCCTCCCTCCGCCGCCGCCGCCGCCGCCGCCGCCCCCCCCGCCCCTTCCCATCTTCTCTGCGCCTGCGCGACCGGAAAATTCGCGAAGGTTCCTGAAGCGGAACCGGCCGTTTCCGGAAGCCGCAGCCGCCTCAGCCGTCAGCCCGCCGGTGGCGACCGTGGGCCCCCGGACCCGCTTGCTCTTCCCGGCGTCTGGAGCAGACCCGTGAACGGCGGGGAGAAGAGATGGCCCTGCTGTGCTACAACCGGGGCTGCGGCCAGCGCTTCGATCCCGAGACCAACTCCGACGGTGAGAGCGCGCCGCCAGCCCCGCTCCCCGCCCCGGCCCGGCCCGCCCCGCCCCGCCCCGGCCGGGGGACGCCCTTGGGCCCAAGGGCAGGTCGGGGTCCCCGCGGGCCGGCGCCGCGCTGCCCCCGCCGGGCTTGCCCCGGGCCGTCGGTCCGCCCGCCCGCCCTCCCTCCCTCCCCCGCGGCCACGCCGCCCCGCCCCGCCCCGCGCCGCCCGCGACCCGCACTGCCGGCTCCCACGTGTTCCGCCCGGGACCCGCCTGGAATCCGAACCTCGGGATTCACTCCCGCCCCGGCTCCTCGGGGACAAGTTGGCCCGGGCGCGGGGCGCGGGGCGCGGGGCGCGGGTGCGTGCGGCCGAGGCGGGGGGCGCCGAGCGGCGAGCACGCGAGCGTGTGGGGTCGGCCCCTGGCCCAGTGTTTTTCTGAAAGTTTTGCTTCCCGCTCGTCCAGCCGCGCAGCTCTTATAAAGTGTGGTGGGTCGCGAGAACCGTCCTGCGTCTTCAGGCTGTGTCGCCCTCCGGTGGGGCGGGCGGGACCCTCCGTGGTAGCCCTGTGCCCTCCTCAGGCGAGAGCGGCGGTGCCTGCGTCCGCGGCGGGGCTGTCGGTGAAAGGGCCGGACGACGGGGACAGTCCCTGCGTCCGGAATTTGAGCGGTGAGTGGGATAAAGGGAGTTGATTCTTGGCCGTGGTGGGAAATGATGCCCCTTTGAGAACTTCAGCTGGCGCGTGTGTGCTCTCTCTGCGCCGGACTCAGCACCTCACTTGAGGCTTCACCGCACCCCTGCAGAGCGTGTGTGATCCGAGGTGTCCCGAGGTGTCCCAGAGCAGCCGGGTCCCACCGGTAGCAGCGTGGTTCCCGCCTTGTGAAGGGAATTAAAGCCTGATAGAATCTCGTCCACCTTTCGCGTGTCTGATGTACCTGGCCTGGCGCACAGGTGGATCGGTGACAGAGTTAAAACGGCAAGGGCATTGGCAGGACCCCGTATAGAAGGTCCAGTCCAGTCTCTCAGTCTTTGTACAGTGCTCACGTTTCTGTACAGCATTGACGTTTCTATCCCATTAAGACGGACTTCTTCGAAAAGAAAATTGTGTGATTTCAGCGGATGACAGGATTGAGGAATAAAAGGTCTTAAAGCCTTTGCTGTTGGTAGCCAATGTAAAAGGTAAAAATTGCCTTAGTATCTGCTATGTTTACTTTGATATTAAGTGGAAAGACTGAGGCTTTGTTCCCTAAGACAATAATGTGCTACAGTAAATGTCTGTGTAGGGTGTTCTCTACCGGCCGGAAATTAGGAAGTAGATAGAACCATTTTTTTGGAAGTAAGTACCGTGTGTGTGTGTGTGTGTGTGTGTGTGTGTGTGTGTGTGTGTGAGAGAGAGAGAGAGAGAGAGAGAGAGAGAGAGAGAGAGAGGGAGAGAGGGAGAGGGAGAGGGAGAGGGAGATGGTATAATGCCTGGGAAAGAGATGAGAGTGAGGGGAGTGAGAAAGAGGAGTAGACGTTCCGGGATTCTGTGATCAGCAGTACTGAGTTCATCAGGGGGCTCCCAAAAGGTTGTGGAACCTGTAGTTGCTTTAACAGAATGGGGGTTAGAGACAATTCCAGTAAGGTGTTTGGTAAGTTAAGAAAATGGAAATGGGAAGTAGAAGATAACAGCTAATAGCAAACTGTGGACTTGGTTAGGAGAAAGTTTTTTAGAATGGGAGAAGTCTGACCTTTGGGCAAAAATAAAAAGCCTGCCTTCTAAGCTGATAACCAGGTTTTAGTTTGAAACACAGACTAAATGTTTCAAGGAGATGCAGTTGGTATTTTTCACATATTTAACAGTTCACTCTGCAAAAAGCACTACTTCACAGTTTTTTTTTTTTTTTTTTTTTTATTTAATTCAAATTTGTAAGGAAGTTGAATCAGCTCCTGAGAGGCAGAGCCAGAAATTGAGCCAGGGTCAGACCCAATGTGTAAAGCCCTTGGCTCCTAACTGCTGCAGTGTAGTTCCTTACCGCTAAAATAGAGCTGAGCAAAACCTGTAAACCTAGTAAAGGCCAGAGGAAAATAACCATCTGCTTGTTTTATACACATGAAAGCAGTGATTTTCAGATTTCATTCATACTAGTTGTAGGGTCAAGACCTGACTGACTCCTGCCATTCTGCCCAGACTGACCACTGTGATGATTATGCCTCTTAGTATGTTGATGCAGTGTGCATTTTATGCCTCTGTGTAAGTTTGATATTTGAAAAGACTGTATTTGTTCCCTCTTTGATTCTGTTCTCAGCTTTCTCTTCCTCACCTTCTGTATATCCATTTCTACTTTGAATCTCCTTTTTCAGCCCTTCATTCCATTAATTACTACCTATAGTTTCTTATTCCGTGGATTTACTTACTGTACCATGAAAATACCTGACACTTTTTTGCTTCATTAGCCTAGCAGAGTATCTATATAACACCTGTTTACTAAGGAACCATTGTATTAATATAGGGATAGGAAGTACCAGGAATTAATCATTTTAAGGCAACAGCAGTCAGTCATCAGAGGTTGTAGCCAATTAAAAGCTAAGCAGACAAGAAAGTTGGGGCAAAGTAGCCTTATAAAAAAATTGTATAGATGTGGAACTCACCTGTTTTTTCTAAGCTCCTGATTGTGTCTAGTCAGGAAGTAATTGTTTATCATCATCTGATTTTTAAAAAATGTAATACTTCGGGATTGCCTGGGTGGCTCAGTAGTTGAGTACCTGCCTTCAGCTCGCGGTGTGATCCGGGGGTACGGGGTGGAGTCCCACATCAGGCTTCTTGCAGGGAGCCTGCTTCTCCCTCTGCCTATGCCTCTGTCTCTTTCTCTGTGGGTCTCTCATGAATAAATAAGATTTTTTAAAAAATGTATTTTATATTGTAAACTGTATTAAGCTTATTTTCATAAGTGTTAGTGAAAATTGATGGTGTAATGGGTGAGGGGGAGGGAAATACAGTGTCACAGTCAGTGACAACCCTGAAAATAGACTGTGAAACTTAAACTTTTTAATGAGGTTTGTATCTAGGTATTGACACCTGTCTAGGAAAATTAAAATAGCAATTAGATAGTACATCTCTTTTTACAGTGTTGAACCTATCCTTCTAAAATATCTTTTTAGAGAATCTCTTGGACAATCTGTGGATCGATGTACATAAGAACACTTTGGTTTGATAATATTTTTGTAAATAGAATTGGAAGGGGATGGTCAAAATCATGGAGCTTGAAGTTTTGGTTCTAAACAAGTTTAACTGTAAAGATTAGAGGAATACAATGCAATTTATTATACTTGCACTGTTCTGTATTATTTTTGTTTACAGTTGTCATACTCTTGAATTAGAATTTTAACTATTACTATTTTAATGTAATACTATATTAAGCACTACGTGCCATGTTAAATTCACACATTTGCGAATTCTTAAGGAAAAGCAGAGTATTACCTGCATTTGGACAAAGGATTAAATGTTAATGCCTGAAAAAAATCATGATTTTTTTATTCCTTATTATAAAGTGTATTTTTTCCCCTTTCTTTGTTTTTTACCAGATGCTTGCACGTATCACCCAGGTGTTCCAGTCTTTCATGATGCCTTAAAGGTAAGAGCTTGGTACATTTCAGTCTTTTCATATCTGTATATTAAATTTAGAGGTGTAATACTGAATCTTTATTTGCTCATCTTTTTTTGTCAACTTGTGACTTCTTGCTTTCTTAATGACCATTTTGGGATGCTGATCTTAAAGTCTTTCCCAGTTTTATTTTTTTATTTTTTTATTTTATTTTATTTTTTTTTTGCTCTTTGTTTGCCAGTTTTAAAATTCTTTCCTTCCTAACTCTCATTTTCTGTACTCTTCATTCCTTCACTTTTTAATCTTGAGAGGAAGTGAAAGCAGTTGTACTGAATCTTAGTTTCTTAATCTGTCAGGCGGCTACTGTGTAATAAGAGCTGCTTTGAATTTTAGCAAAGATTGTCACAAACAGTAAAGGGTGCCAATCTGTTTGAGGTACCACCTGTTCTCCACCTGTACTTGATGTTCTGGATAATTAGAGAAATAATAGAATGCTGCTTGACTAAGTTTTTCTTGGTGTATTTATTGATCTTTTAAAAATTTACGATAATACAATAATATCTCAAAAGATAATATATATCTCAAAAGGAAATGTTGCAGTGTGGCCGCCATGGTTTTAGATTTTGGTAACCAGTCTTACATGTTTAAATATTGTTGATGCCTTTTGAATTTCTAATTATACCTTCTAAGGAGTAGTTGGATCCTTTTGGTAATTATCTGTTTGATAGCCAAGTGTTAATAAAGATATATAATTAGATAACAAGTTTATCTGGTTAATTCTAAGTAAAGAAAACAAAACAGCCATTCAGTAGGGCAGGTTGAGAGAGCTGATTCTTCCTTAGGTCTTTTTAGCTGTTTTACAAACTATTTTGGGGATGGAATCTGGTTCTGGGGAATATTTACTTTTACAGAAGAGTGAGGGGACTTACTTATCTTTCCTAGACTGCCATTTATTCTATGTTTGTTTTTCATACTGTATGTTTTTCTTTCTTCCCTTGTAATATGTTTCTATCCCTTAACCAGAGACATGCTTCACCTTTGTCTTTAGCTTCCTATTCCTCTCATTTCATTTGTTTCTATCCTTAAACATCCTCTCTGTACCAGTGGCTTCTGCAGAATGTTTCCATTTCATTTGTGATTGAAAACCAGTTTTTAAAGTGAGCTCTTACCCAAAAATAGCCTGCATCTGAACTTTGCTGCTGCTACTAATATCACAAACTTTCTAGTTATTCAGTCCGTTGCTCTTTTTTTACTACCCAACTGTTAGTCACCCTGTTAAATTAATCTTAATGATTTCACTCTGAAGTCTTCTTGTTTCTTTTTCCCAGTCCTGCTGTTTATTATTGTCTCTATAAACATTTCTTGAAGACCTGTACTTTCTGACACTGTTGAATTTCACAGCGCAAATACATAGACAAAAATAGATAAATCAATATAATATCCACTGTTGCCAGTTTATTGCCAAAGAAGTTAAATATTGCATATACAAAAGAATATTTTAATATTCAAATTAGAAGTGACATAGAGAAGAGAGACCGTCCTTCTTAAGAAATGACAATCTTATACTCACATACTTCAATTTATCCTTCATTTTTTTGTTTTATTGAGGACTGCTATAGATCCCAGATTAGCATTTGGGAACAACTGGTATGTATCATGTACGTATTCCAGTATCCCCAGAATATCTGCTGTAATTCTTTATATGTGATTAAGACAATAAAGCTTTTTTCCATACAGAATAACTTTTCTGATGACTTTATATCAATGCAACTAAATACTATATTTTAAAATTAAAGTAGAATTTCATTTATATCTCAATTCAGAGTAAAAGAATTCAATTTCAGAATAAAGGAAAATTTGAATTATAGTAAATTTAACATCTTTTTTTTTTTTTTAAGATTTTAGTTATTTTTTCATGGAAGAGAGAGAGAGAGGGAGGCAGAGACACAGAGGGAGAAACAGGCTCCATGCAGGGAGCCCAGTGCGGGACCCCATCCCAGGACTTTGAGATCAGGCCCTGAGCGAAAGGCAGATGCTCAACCACTGAGCCACCCAGGTGTCCCTTAACATTTTCTTTAAAATAATTTGGAAATGCATAGTGTGAAAAAAACCACTACCAAATTCTTCATGCAGTATATTGAGAAAAGCAGTGAGGTCCAGATAGATATGTGCAAATCCTAGCCTTTGGTCTAATTTTAAAACATCCTAAGTCTTGAAACTGCTGCTTTTGTATTTTCTTATTCTCTATACTACACTGGAATTAGAGATGACAGTTTAAAGCTTTTGGTAAGTTACTTGATACTTGGTTTAAAAATCACACATGGCATTGCAATATCTGTAACTTTATGCTTGTCGCTGAAAAGATCATTTAACTTTCAAAGATCTAACAATTAAAAAAAAAAGATCTAACAATTCTTAGGCTACTATGCTCATCAATCTGTGTTGCATAGAATGCTTATTGTTGGGGAACACCTTCAGTGAGTGAGTTCTTTAGAAACTGAATTATAATTAATATTTCTAATTTACTGGATTTTTAAAGTAAAGCACTTCACTTACTCCCTAGATCCTTTAAAGTTTATGGCGTTTTTAGAAATTATAAAATGTTTCTCTTCGGAATCATGTACTAGTCTTGAAAACAGAAGCAATTTTTATTTCCCTATCTTAAGGTACTTCCTTTTGTGATCAGTCACAACACAAATCACCTTTAACATTGGTTAATTTTTTTAAAGTCAAAAACTAAAAATCATTTCACTTGATTAGATGAATCATTTATAACACTTTCCAACTGTGGAATCTATATATGTGCCAGTCACTGCCAAATTCCAGAAATAAGCGCAAATAGACTCTTAGTGGGTTGTAGTTCTATGCAAATTGAATTTGTAGTTTTTTCTGTTTCATAGGGTTGGTCTTGCTGTAAGAGAAGAACAACTGATTTTTCTGATTTTTTAAGCATTGCGGTAAGCATTAATTTTTTTCCTAGATTATCTCCTGAAAAAGTAAAAAATAATGGGAAGCTCCAAATTTTAGGAATCTAATTTTGGACGTCTATTGAATAGTCTTGTTAACGTGCAGATAGAACCTTTCTTTTAAAGTGGAGCTCACCTCCCTTGACAGTCTTTAAAATAAGGAATTTATCTGTTTTAGAGCTAAAAGTTTCACAGTATTAATTACCCACCCATCAATTTTGTTTGTCCTTGATATAAGTAGTCTTTAAAGTACATCAAGAAGGAGGTGGTAGACAACAATTTAAAGCATTTTTATAGTAAGTGAGGAATAATAGCATTTATCAAACCTACGATACTCTCAAGATATACCATTTATTTTGTGTATCCTTAAAGTAAATAAAAGCTGTTAATGAAATGATATGCCTTTGAATTTACAATTTCAGGTATGTTACAGTGCACGTATGACTCAGTAGAATGCGGAAAAGGTAGCTAGCATTTATCGACCATTTACTACCTGCCAGATTTGACAAATACTCTATTTTACTTAATCTTCTCAAAAAATTTAAGTGCCATTGCCTCCATTTTACTGGTGAGGAAGTTGAAGTTTAAAAAGATTAACTTGCTCAAGGTTATATAGCTAGTAAGTAGAAGAACTGAGGGCTCAAATCAAGGTCCTTCCAATAATTTGTAGGATTCCATGTGAGATTTCCAGAACTTGTTTACCGTAAAAAAAGTTTATGCCGTGTATAAGTAGATATTTATAAAGTATAATTTAAAGGCTTCTTTTAAAATACATTAAGATGTGAGAACTTTTTTACAAATATTGCACATTTGGAGTTCTGTTTTTAGTTTCTTAAAATAAGTGTGTGGAGAATGCATATAATAGAATGTATTAATAAAGAATTGAAAATAATTTTTCTACCATTGCATGTGTGAAACAATGATAACTTTTATATTTCCTAACAAACAGGGCTGTACAAAAGGTAGGCATAATAGTGAGAAGCCACCTGAGCCAGTCAAACCTGAAGTCAAGACTACTGAGAAGAAAGAACTTTCTGAATTGAAACCCAAGTTTCAGGAGCACATCATTCAAGCCCCTAAGCCAGTAGAAGCAATAAAAAGGCCAAGGTACACCTTATACACTTGTATATTTTTGTCACGAGTGAATAATAGCATCTGTTCTTAGTATTTTGTGATTTCACATACCATTTATAGTTGTTATGTAGGTCACCAACTTTTTATCTGATTTTCCCTTAGTATACCTTCCATTTGTATTTTGTCTTCAGCTTGAGGACATGTACATAATAAACTTTCATTGCATATTTGTTCAGTGTATTATCATAATATTATGTCAAAAGCATAAGAGTCACACATCTTTCTTGGGACTTGACATGTCTTTTTCACTATGGCATCATGAAATTCTAGACACAAATTGTCAGAGAATCAGATTGAGGTGAAAAAGAACTTTAGAGGCCTTCCTCTTTCTTCTGTCTTCTTGACTATCTTCTAGGACATTCTTGACAGAAGGATGTTTAGTTTCCTTTCGAATAATTCTAGTGAAGAAGAATTTACTTTTAAAGTAGTCCCTTTTATTGTTACTAAGTATATATTTTTCTTCATATTGAGCCAAGTTCTGTCTTTCATTTGTCCATATTTTGTAACTTAGAACAAGCCTAGTCACTTCTCTTTTACTTTCACTTGCCTGAAAACTGATAATTTCATTATAATCATTAAATTTTTTGTTTATTTGGTTTAGATGGCTGATCTATTAAAGTATGTTTAAAATACCTTTTGCTCATTTTGCAGTAGAATTACACAGATTCTTCATACTTATCTACTGATCAACTAAACTCTATTTTACATTCCCATATATGCATGTTGACTGCCACTGTTAAACCAGGCCTCTTTCATGTTGCACTTGAGTATTGTTTTAGAACCAAAACAGGGCAGCCCAGGTGGCTCAGTGGTTTAACGCCGCCTTCATCCCAGGGCCTGATCCTGGAGACCCGGGATCGAGTCCCACGTTGGGCTCCCTGCATGCAGCCTGCTTCTCCCTCTGCCTATGTCTCTGCCTCTCTCTCTCTCTCTCTCTCTCTCTCTCTCTCTCTGTCTCATGAATAAATAAATAAAATCTTAAAAAAAAAAAGAACCAAAATATAAGACTTAGAAAACAGATGTGTTGGTCTCAAATATGTCCCCAGTTGATATTTTTATTCCCACGATGGACTTCATGGTTTTCATGACTTTTTTTCCTTTATTGATATTAAATAAGTTTAGAGCATACTGAATAATACTGGACCTGAGAGACTTTGATGTTTGTTCATTCAAACAGACTACTTAAACTGATTTTTATTCCGTCTCCACCTCATTCATAATCATGAGAGACTTTATCAAATGACTTCCTGGCTGATACACCAGTTATAAAAAATTATAAGGAAAAGACAATTTTGGCATGGCGGATTCTTAAGTATTACAGTGGTGCCTACTGTAATTATCAGTATGAGTTAATATTTACTTTAAATTATGAACTACTAATTAAGAAGTGAGAGAAACTAAGTATTTTTCCCTAAATTCATTTGGTAGTACTGTAGAGATTATGGAAATATAGGTTTTTATGTACTTTGTTAATACTTCCTACATCTTCCTACAATAATTATTTTCATTAGGGATGTGGAATATGAATAACCTAGGATTTTTATTTTATTGTTGCATTAATATTCTTAATACTTATTGAATGGCTTTAAATAAATTGTACACATAACACTTAACCATTATGAAATGTTAGGGAGGTCTTATTATTCATTTTTAACCCTACTGAAATTACCTTGTGATATAATTTTGATTTTATGGATGCATGTAAACAGTGTCCACATCAAGTGAATTATCTCCAGTGATAGGAATATGGATTCACGTAGTACGTATTTGTTGCCTGTTAATTGTATGCTCAGCATTTTGCTTAGGTGTGGAATGTAAAAGTACTTCATGGTCCCTTCTTGGCAACTTGGATTCCTAGTATTTACTCTTTTCTCATTAAACTTACTGATTAATGACTTACCATGTTGGTAATAGCATGATTATTGGAGACTTAATTTTTTTAAATTTATTTACTAATGAGGTGGGAGGGAGAGAGAGAAAATCCCCAACAGGCTCCACTGACTCAAGACTCAATCTTATGACCCTGAGATAGTGACCTGATCTAAAATCAAGAGTCAGTCACTTAACCGACTAAGCAACTCAAGTGTCTGGAATTTAATGTTTTTATATCAGAATTTTTCTGTTAAAACGTAAAAGTGTAGATAACGTAATAGCATGTATTTGTAAAATACTATTTAATACGAAAAAATTCACAAGGCATTGGTTTTTTTTATAGATTCTTAGTGTATTTATTTTTGGTAAAAAAAAAAAACATGCATATGTATATATTTTTGGAACATCAATAATGGTAATAAAGTTTAAAAATTCTCCAGCCCAGATGAACCAATGACAAACTTGGAATTAAAAATATCTGCCTCCCTAAAACAAGCACTTGACAAACTTAAACTATCCTCGGGGAATGAAGAAAGTAAGAAAGGTAAGATTTTTATCTTGTAACTTTTTTTTTGTACAATTAACCAATTATCTAAAAGAGAAGCAGTATAGTTCACTATACATAAATATTGAAAAGGTAGCACAGTATAGTAAAGAATTTTTTTTTGTTTTCTAAATACCAGTAATACCACAAAATGAATTGTTAGTTTATTCTGTAACGTCTTTATTAAAATGAGAAACTGTTAAGCATTTTTTCTTCTATCATTCATTACTTTTTAACTGTTAAATTTATTTGATAATTGTAAATGTGCATGATATAAAACATATTCAATATATTTTGACCTACACTCAATACCATGGAGGGAAGTAGTACCCCTTTCATGACTTCTCTTTTACACGGTTAAGATGTTGGATATTGTATTGCATTATAGAATAGAAATGTGTCGTATGTCATTTGGGGACATGGGCAAAACCTAATCACAGTAGTTGATTTCTTACTAGCTTTTTATATATATTACCTGAGAGGTCATGTAGAAAATTTAATAACTTAAAATTATTTTAAAATATTGGTGTTTTTTAAGGTTACTATTTTTTTCAAATACTTGCTTCATGAAGAAGGTTACTTAAGAATGACACTAAAGTTATTTTAATGTTTCTAATTTGATTTTCTTTCCTTTTTTTTTTAGAAGAGGACAGTGATGAAATTAAGATTGGGACCTCATGTAAAAATGGAGGGTGTACAAAGGTATATATTGTAAAATTTGTGTTGTGTCATGGAAGTAAAATTTAATTTTGAAGAAGAGTGCAATTTACTGATTCAATTCAACAAACATTTGGGTGCCTATTATGTCTTGGTGTGCTGTGCTGTGGACTAGTGCTGTGAACATGGATAAGAGATAATGTCTGATGAATATTGTATCTGAATCATGGGAATAAGTAATTCTAATTCAGTCGGCATTTCCTGAGCACTTACTGTGTGCCAGACATTGCTTGGGGGCTGGAAATACAGTATTAACTAAAAATTTCTGCTGTGTGGCACTTATTCTAATTTAGAGGGAAGGATAACACATTGGTATTAAATATAAATTCAAATTGATAATGAAGAGAATTCAGTAGAGAGTATAGCTATTAAATAAGGCTGTCAGGAAAGTTCTTTTGGAAGTGACACTAAGCCAGAAATGTAAATAACGTGGCAGGTGAGTTATGTAAATCTCCAAGTTGATATGAGAGCAGAATGTGTGGAGCCCTTAGAGATTGGTTTTTCAAGAAATTAAGAGAAAGGTCAGTGGGGCTTGGTCAGTGGTGTAAAATGTGAAAGGGGTAAATGAGATAGGCAAGATTATGGCGATCCTTTCAGGGCCCAGGGAAGGGTTTGGGTTTTGGGGAGGGGGTGGATTTTTTTTGTATTTTAAGGTATAATGGGAAGACATTTTCTGTTTTAAGGAGGGGTTTTAAAAAATAGCTCTTTGGCTGATAACATGACAAATACAATGGGGCAGTAGGGGAATTGGAGGAAGGAAAACCAGCCAGGATGCAATTGTGGAAGACCAGGTAGTGGGATTAGAGAGTATTCTTTAGAAATGGTTCAATGTGGGTTATATTCAGACATCTCAGTAAGGATTTTTTTCTACCTATGTAAAAAATTGAGTGCCCTCCAGCATCTCTAAATTGTCCTTTTTTCTCCAGGGCACTGATCACCATATAACATGCTGCTGCTTTTGCATGTGTATTTTGCCTATGATCTATCCCAGCTGACTTTCCCTCCCCTTCTTCCTCTCGTGTAAGGTTTACAAGGACAGAATTTTTGTTTTTGTCGTTTGCTGTGTCTTGAATGCTTTAGAACGCTGCCTGCCTGGTTTAATGTCAAATCATGCAGAATGAATACTATTTGGAAATACTAACAGGACTTACTAATGAACTTCAAGTGAAGGGGAGTTGGGGCTCCAGCAGCTAGGTGACTGCTGACACCATTAACCAAGAAGGAGAAAAAGAGGATTAGGGGAAGTTTGTAATTTTCCCTCATGTTAAGTTTGAGATCACCTTTCTTATTTAGCGATGGAAATGAAAATGTATTTATATATATGTAAGGTAGAAATACAGAGTAAGTACTAAAGTACTGGATTGCGGGAGACCGTGCAAGTGGTGAAGTGTTTGCAGGGAGATGAGAGAAAAACTGTCTCAGATGAATTTTGAAACATGAAGTCCATCCTGCAAATGGACAAAAAGGGAAAGGATATCTCAAGCAGAGGTGATAGCAGTATACAGAAAGCAATTAACAGTAAATAATAATGGCACAAAATTTGTTGGTGTGGAGTTAAGATTAGAAAAGTAGGGACCAGATCTATCTCAAAACGCTTTTACAGTGCTCAAAAGTTAGATTTCACTCTAGGTTATAGAGGTCATTATTATCTTTTTTATTGAAATAATAACATTAAAAAGTATACAGATTTCAGTAAATTTATAGCTCAAGGGATTTTCACAAAGTAGAGCCCTCCTTATACCTTCTCCCACTTACTATTTTCTCCCAAAAGTAATGTTTTTCTATCAGTAAAGAGTCATTCTGCCTATGTTTTGGGCTTAATGTGAATAGAATCATAGATCAGGTACTCTAGTACCTGTCGTCTTGGCTTAATAAAATGTGTATTGAGAGTTATCTTTGTTGCATGTAGCCATAGTTCATTTTCATTGTTTCAAAATATGTCCTTGTGTGAATGTTGCCAGTTTACCCTTTCTGTTGTCCTTTAAATTTTCTGGTTTGATGCTACTGTGAACAATTTGTGCCCAACTTTTGGGACACATGGATACATTTCTTTTTAGGTAAATGACTAGAAAAGGAATTATCAGACCATAGTTTGTGCACAACTTTAACAGATACTTCCTCATAGATTTCTTGGATGGTTGTATTTATACATCTGCCAGCAGTATATGAGGTTGATTTTGTTTGTTCTACACCTTGGTGTAACACTCTGTAACATCAGTCTTTAATGAAATCCAATTTGTCTGTTTGATTTGACTAGTGCTTTTCGTTTTCCTTTTAAGAAATCTGCCTAATTTAAGGTCATCAATATTTTTTCATATGTAGAGAGGCACATTTAAATGTACAAACCACCTGGAACTGATAACTATGTAAGGTGTGAGGTAGAGAAACTAATTAAAATCTGTTAGCATAGTCTCATTTTCTAAAATCTGCTAGTGATCATGAGGAAGTTTAGCAAATTAAAGTGATAGATATTTTCAAGGTGAATTGACAGGATTTCATGCTAGAAAATATGAATGGAGGGAGAGGCAAAACCGCAGAGGACTTTTTTTTTTTTTTTTTTTTTTTTTGCTTTGGAAGACTAAATGGATATGGTGCCATCAAATAAGGTAGGAAGAAGAGTAGGAGTGGAGGGGGCAATAGTGGTAAGTTCAGAATCTAACACTGAGTTTTGTGTGCTTATGGAATCTCCTTAGGAGATGCTTACAGGCAGTACATTGGATTTACCAAAAGTAAATATACAGAATTTTATTTTCTGTACTTGTAGGTGGTTGCTATAAATACCAAAGTAAAAATAAACTACTGGCTGCATCTGTGTTTTATTAACATAACTTTTTGTGAATTCATCTATAGAGCCTTCACCTACAGCAGCAATGGGGCCCGGATCTTCCAGACAAACCCTGGATATATTTATAGGTCTGCAGCTCATTTTACCCTTCCTAGGGATAAGAAATCAACAACACCGTAGAATTTCCAGAACTGCTTCTTAATTTGTAATGCCCACACAGAGTTTCCTCTGCACATAAATCATGCTATATATAACTCTGTTTCTATTGAGAATACTAATCCTTTGGTTTCAGTATTATTCTATAAATTTAGATACATGAATATGCTTGAGTTGTGACCTCATACCTGAAAGTGTGAAAGCATCTTAATATATCCCATTGTCTACTTTACTATTTGCCTTTTTCACAGGAAAGTAAAACTTCAGCATATCCAAAAAGGAATCATTTTTCAAATTCCTTATTGGAATGGCCTGGGGTGAATTTATGAAAAATGTTGTAGGTAATTGTTACTTCTTGAGCATTTTCATAGTTCTTAGAGGTCACCAGTCCTACAAATATTTATGAAATATAGCATTGACATGTGAAGCTTATTTTTTCCTCTTTTTTTTTTCCCTTTTAGACATATCAAGGTCTACAGAGTCTTGAAGAAGTCTGTGTATATCATTCTGGAGTACCTATTTTTCATGAAGGGTAACTTATACATGACTAATAAAAACTTCATGGTAGAGGTTAGAAAAGTTAATGTGCCTATAAATATTATTTGCCATGCAGCATTATTGGGTATTTTATTTACATTGTTACATAGTCTTCAAAATACCCTAGACTGTGGATTTTGTCTTTTTACATGTCAGAAAACTGAAACAATGATTAATAATTAATAATAATAATTATTAATAATAATAATTAATAATTTGCCATTGTGATTCAAACTTGATGTTTTTCCTTATTCCCTAAATTTTCAATGGGATACTCTATTTGGGTTGGATCGTTTTTAGTTTGAAGGACTTTTCTGTGCATTGACAGACTTTGAGAATTTTTAGTCCTAGAGCACTAAAACACCAGTATTGTGTCATCCAAAAAAAGCCACACTTTCCACAGTCCTCATTGGAGATCTGGCCCCTCTTTTGTTTTATGCTATAGTTGATAGAAATACAGTACCATGTTAAAATCTTCCACTCTGTTGAAACCTTTGGTCATACCACTTTTGGGGAATTTTATGAGGAATCTGGATGTGAGTTATTAGTGAAAAGCGGATTTGGAATTTCGTGGTTTTAAGCATCTTTACTCAGGAGCTTCAAAACTGCTACAATAAATGGCATTCTGGTTTTAAAATGATTAGTCTTCTGATAGTTTTAACTCTTTAGAGACATAGCCACTTTGTAGAATACTACAGTTCACACACTTACTTAGCTTTTAAAATTACATTGTCACTGTACTGCTTCTGGACTTAAGTGGTTGTAAGATTTTTATTTCTGAAGTTTTTCCATGATAATTTAAAGGATGAAATACTGGAGCTGTTGTAGAAGAAAAACTTCTGATTTCAATACATTCTTAGCCCAAGAGGGCTGTACAACAGGAAAACACATGTGGACTAAGAAGGATGCTGTAAGTAGCCTTTTAAAAATAACATATCGGGATATGTTTATCTGAGTCGTTTTTTAAACATTTAAGATGATTTTGTCTTCAGATTAAAAACAAACAAACAAACAACTTTCTCTCTCTCTCATAGTAAAAGTTTGATGTGCCTAAAAGTTAAAATTGAGTCAAGCTCCCAGAGCACTACCCTTTGCTCAAAGCAGCCATTGTGTATGACAATGCAAATATGCAGGTTTTTGTGAAATAGTAAAGCCTCTGCCAAAATTGAAGCATGTGTTTCTGTAATTCTTTAGTTTCTTCCCACTTTTTGTTTATTAAAAATCACTTTTCTACTCCTTCAGTGTTTAATCACTTAGACTTTTGATTCTCTTTTGGTCCTTTAAAACTTGACAACCATTTGTAGTGCAAAAACACTCCATCTATTGGCCAAAGAGAAGGACCGCAAACTTGTTCCAATTGTCTTGAATGCCTCTGCTTGCTACGGGGTAGTTTATCAAAATAACAAAAACTTTAGTTCCTACTTCCTGGATAACTTTAAAAAGATGCAGGCTATCCACGTAAGTAAGTGTCCAAAAATCCCATTAAATTGTAAGAAGGCAAGCAATTTATTGCTCAATAAGTATGTGTTAGCTATTGTAACGTATTTTATAATATATTAAATTAGTTTTATGTCCTATATTGGTACTAAACCCCTACTAGCAATGAAGCTTTTCACTATATATGACTTTTAACTTAAAACATAATTGTAAATTTTCAAATTGCTTTAGAGATTCATTCATTCTACATTTGAATATTCTTTGGTTTCTGATTTTTAATAACATGCTTTGGTGTTCCTTCAAGTTATTTTAATTCATCTGCTACAGCACTTGGAGGAATGTTTTATTAACCAAAAGATTCAGTAAAATCTCGATGTATTTTCTCCAAGGACCATAATTTTGAAAATGTTGTTTTCTGTTATATGCAGAAGTTTTCAGGGTATAACCCTTTTTTTTTTTTTTTTTTAATTTATTTATGATAGTCACAGAGAGAGAGAGAGAGAGAGAGAGAGGCAGGGACACAGGCAGAGGGAGAAGCAGGCTCCATGCACCGGGAGCCCGATGTGGGATTCGATCCTGGGTCTCCAGGATCGCGCCCTGGGCCAAAGGCAGGCACCAAACCGCTGCGCCACCCAGGGATCCCAGGGTATAACCCTTGATTAATGTTTTTGTTATTTTTTTAATGCTTACAGTTAGCAAGTATTAAGTATCTGAGCTAGTAGTTAAGGGCAAAAAATGTAAGCGATATAAGTAAATACGGTTCGCATAATTTTACCAAAATGTAGATACTGCTTTTTGAACAGTAGTGTCTCACAGTTTTTGTTCCATTGTAACTAAATTGCTTTCATTTACAAAACATCACGATTTGTCTCTTTTTTTAAATAGTCCTTGATAAAATAATGTTCTTCTGGTAGGTAATAGTTATTTCTGTAACAATAACCAAATTATCACTTTTTTCTGCATGTTATTATAAGAAGAAAATTATTTTATAACAAAGAACAGATAGTATAAGTACTCAATTGGTTCCAATTTATAGAAATTAGAAATTTCAATTTGTAGTCAGATTCCACCTTACAGAAAATAAGTGGAGGGTTTCTGTGCGTGAAGTTAAAGTGTTTGGGTTTATTTTACCAAGCAAATGTCTTATTTTAGTCTTCATAGAATGTTTTTATGACTGTGCTTAGCAGATTGCAGAGATGTTAAGATACGATCAAATTCAGTAGTTCTTAAGTTGTCTTTTTCAATGTGTATTAAAGCTATGGACATGAAAGAAAAAAATCAAATGGAAGAATAAACATGTTCTTCAGCCATAGGACTATAAAGATTTATATTGTAATATATATGTTTTTTTAAACCTTTGGGAACTTTAGAAGATGTCTTCCTTAAAAATTTTAAGGAGGGGATCCCTGGGTGGCTCAGCAGTTTAGCGCCTGCCTTCAGCCCGGGGCGTGATACTGGAGTCCCATTATCAAGTCCCACGTCGGGCTCCCTGCATGGGGCCTGCTTCTCCCTCTGCCTGTGTCTCTGTCTCTCTCTCTGTGTGTCTCTCATTAATAAATAAATGAAATCTTATTAAAAAAAAAAAACTTTAAGGACCTCAATTGCACGTGGTAATTTTTTCTCAGTTATTTGGCTCAGATTCCTCTTTTTTTAGTGGCTATATGGCATTTTGTAAACTCATTTTTCTTATCTTACAGGGGAAAAAAGTTGTTCCATGTAGACATGACTGGCATCAAACAGGGGGTGAAGTAACCATTTCAATCTATGCTAAAAATTCACTTCCAGAACTTAGCCAAGTAGTAGCAAATAGTACATTGGTAAGTACACTAAATATCTTTGAGAAAAAATTGTCTTTGTACATTATTCTCTATGTTAATGTATTATAAAATACTGTGTTTGGGCTGATTTTAAGATTTTTTTTTATTTTCCATTCGAAAAAAAGTTTGAAATTGCTGTCAGAAACTATTGAAATGAAAATTTCTGCATAGTAGAATTCTTTCTGAAGCATTCTGGAGATACTGTATTAGCTTAGAAGATTTATCATATTATATAGTACCTAGTTCTCAGTATGAAACTTCAGTTAATTTTGTTTTTCTGTTAATGGTTTCCTTAAAAAAAATAATCATTGTTGGGGCGGCCTGGGTGGCTCAGTGGTTTATGCCGCCTTTGGCCCAGGACCTGATCCTGGAGACCCGGGATCGAGTCCCATGTCGGGCTCCCTGCATAGAGCCTGCTTCTCCCTCTGCCTGTCTCTCTCCTCGTGCGCTCTCTATCTCTCTGTCTCTCTCTCTCTCTCTCTCTCTCTCTCTCTCTCTGTCTCTCATGAATAAATAAAATCTTTAAAAAAATAATAATCGTTGTTTTAAATCCTGTTATATCGATTTGTATTTGATCAGATAACCCTGTATATTTTTCAGTTAAATGTGCACATTGTATTTGAAGGAGAGAAGGAATTTCATCAAAATGTGAAATTATGGGGTGTAAGTATCTGTGAATCCAGAATTTTTTCTTATACCTTAAAATGCCCATTTGTACAGTAAAAATAAACTATTTTATAAAACAGTGATGCAAAGTAGGTATGTAACTTATGATTAATTCTTACTAAAATGTTTAAATCTGGGTATAAAAATGGCCTTATTAGCAGCTTGGAGTTTTGATTATTAGCATAGGCAAGACCAGTATTTTCGTTTAAGATCGTGGCTTACAGTCATTTTCTGATTTGTTGCAGGTGATTGATGTAACACGAAGTTATGTAACTATGACTGCAACAAAGATTGAGATCACCATGAGAAAAGCTGAACCTATGCAGTGGGCAAGCCTTGAACTGCCTGCTACCAAAAAGCAGGAGAAACAAGAAGATACAACAGAATGAGTTGACAGGGGAAAAAATGTATTGCCTATTTTCAGAATTCTTACTGTATGGTAAAATGGTGGCTTGCTGCTGTCCTCTTTTGTTGTTGCTGTCATTATTGTTGTTGCTGTTGCTGTTGTTGAATCTGGCAGTTCAGGGTCAACGGTAGGTTCTTAAAAGCCAAAGTCAGTTTATCTTTTCGTGCCTCCCATCTTTTTTTTTAGTTACCTAAGGTTGACTATTCATTTCTCCTCAGTTGACAGAATATAGTTGTGTCCTATACTTGAAAAGCTAGAAAGTAGCTCATAAACAGTTACAGTATTTCTTGGTATACCTTTACGTTTAACAGAGAAGTGTAAAAGAATGTTTGTTTTGTTCACATCTCTTTCTTTATCCCATAATTAGTAAAGCAAGATGGGATGTTGGATTTTTAAGTAGTTTTTTCATGAGTTTGTGTTCCTATAATACTTGAAAAACTTAAAGGAGGAGAAGAAGCTCTGCATTGTTTTATCCTTGGGAAGGTTACTTTTTCTAGAAGGAATAATTCTGAGGTAGCATAGTAGCTAGTTAAAGGGGAATATATGCATTGAATAATAAATTGGAATTTGTTTACAACTAATTAAATTAAAACATATCAGTACCTATATTACTTTAAGCGCTATGATTTAAATGTATATAAAACATAAGAGTGGAGAGGTACAGTTTGGTTAAAATTTGCCGTTTTATTAAGACTAAGCAATAATGTTAAACATCTCTTTCCTGATTATTATATAAGGTCTTTGTATGGTGTTATGACTAAATTGCACCTAATTTATAGCCTCCACCCTCTTAAAATCTTTAATTAGTTACATGTAAAAGAAATTATATATATACACACACATGTGTGTGTATATAAGTGTGTGTGTATATGTATATCTGGCCTCCCTGATGGAAAACTGTATAAAACCGTAGACTTAAAGGCTTATGAAATACATTTTAGGGTATCAAAAAATTAAATATTTAAGCTCCGCTTTATGAGAAATATCTATTACCTGTTAAATAAAATAGCTTAATTCTTTTGGAGTTATTTTTTAGGCTTTCATGAAAAGTTTGACAATTCTAGGTGATACAGTGTTGTTTATATATTGTACTTCATTAAATACAGGTATCACAGATTTAGATTGTTTATGCTAATTGAACCCATTAAAGGATAGTTTACTTTTAAAGGCAATGCAGAGCTAGCTCACCAAGAAAACTAAAATTAAGAAATGTTTTGAAGGCCAAAACTCTGGCAGAACTTAAGAAATTTGGGTATGAATTATGCTAATGTAGATTAAAATTATTTCCCAAGCCCCTTGAGTGTTTTTCTTTTGTTCTTATAAAGAAAATTTGCATAAGTACAATTTTAGAAGTAAAGGTTAATTAATAAGTAGTATGTCTCACTCAACTACTGTTAGATTACTAAAGGTAGTTATATAATAAATGATTTAGCTGTTATAGAGACATAAAAAAAAATCTGGTAACTGGGCATTCATGATATATGGTATTTTAATGAACTACCATGCAAAACTTTCAGTATAATTAGACTAAAATACAGCATAAAAGTTTCTAGTACTCAGGGTTGTGTTTAAATTTTTAAAAATTATCTTTCATAATTTAAGGACCTGGGTTCGTTTGAAGACATAAAATCTTGTTTATTGTCTAGAGGAGAGAGATAACTTGAAGTAATGACTAATATTCCTTTTTTAATGTTTTCTTCTTGAGACTTTTTTCCACCTAAACAATATCTTAATGTGTTAATTGCAGTTGAACTAGTATTTAAACCAAGGGGATTATTCACCTGAGAGTTACAAAGCACTGACTGTGAGTGTGTATGTGTGTGCCTGAGTGTGTGAGTGAGAGAGAGAACGAGAGATTCAGCTTACATATTTAGTCTGGTTACATTAGTGATCATTCTATTTCTTTCTTATTCCTATGAACCTCTTGATTTTGTTGCCCAAATAAAAATCTAAATATTTTTATCTTAGATTCATACATAAAGGGAGAGAGTTAGAATTTATGTAGAATATTGTTACTTTATCTGTCAAAAAATTAAGAATGTTAAGTTTTACTGTTTCTTTAGAAATACGGTTTGTCTTTCTCAGCATTCAAAGTAATTACTATAGCAAAGCAGTCAAAACTAAGTTTATTATACACTTGGTAGCTAATCTGAGAGTTCAACTCAACATGAGAAAATAGAAAATACGGTTTTTTATTGTTCCGTACATTTGGTAGTAAAAAGGTAATAAGGTCCTGATAGTTGAGCTTTTATTTTTTTAACATCTTATCTTGAGATAATTTTAGATTTATAGAAGAGTTACCAAGAAAAATACTTAGAGACGTCTTTATTTCCTATGTTAATCCTCGCCTTGTATTAAAATCTTATTTGACCAAAGAACATGAACAAAACTAGGAATTAGCCTTGGTACAATACTGTTACCTAAAACAGAACATTGATTTTGACCATTCTTCTTTTAGTGGAACACTTGAAGGGAAGTTCTTAAAACTTACCCTAAGTTTCTTATAATTATTTTAGCTAATAATTTCTAAACCATTGAAAATACAAATTGAAATCAACCTACCAGAGAAAGATCTGTTTATATGGTCAGTGATGTAAATTCTTGTAACCATATAATAGCAAAGGACTAGTGATCAATTTTCTTATAATTTTATGCTAGAGATTCTAATTCTTATTAAGTATAACTTGTTTGGTTTTCTTCAGACAATCTTTAACCATTTAAAGGTGAAGAAAATCTTCAGAGTTCTTACAGATATTTTAAGGTGACTTTGGGTTATTGCTCTGCCACTCCTTGCTTTAAAAAAAAAAAAAAAAGTCAGCCATTCCTCAGCCTGAGACTGCATGACACCCACAATAAATAACATTTTAAAAGCTCATTTATGAGTTCTGGTATCCGTTTTTAGGGCAGATGATTATGTACTCTTTCTTTTTAACAAACCAGCTATTTTTAAGTTGTCAGAACATTATTAGGGGTTTCCTTCCTTGCAAATTAATTTGATTTGGCATTCATATTTGCTATTATTTTTATCTTTTGCCTATAATATAATTTTGTGGCCTCAGTTCTGAAATACAAGCTAAGTGTAGCTTGTTTTTTGGTTTTGTTAATAGGTATTTCATTTATTTTAATTGTTGAATTGATAGGAAGTTGATTTTTTTTTTTTTTTTTACCTGATTGCTTCTTTACTGCCTAAGTATCTTACAACTTAAACTCTTCTGGAGTTGCATGACTTGCCTTTTTTATTTAGGTGTAGATGCCTGGGGCTTTATACATGTAGCATTATCTCTGAAGTACTGAGCTTGCAGTGTTTTTCTTCTGCATAGTTACTGTTTGATTTTAAGTTTTTATATAGTTCTTAGTTTTGAAGAAATCCTTCAAGAACAGTTTCTCTAAAGAGCATGTTTTAATTAAATGCTAATTAATTACCTTTCTTAGTTTTCCAATTTAGTAGGCCACTTTCAATGTCTATTAAAGTGAAATAAAACTTCTGACCTTAAACATTTTTATGTTGATTAAAAATTGTGTCAAAATAATTTGGTTTCCATTTCTTTTTGACCAAGCAGGTATACTGTCCAAATGATTCGATTGTTAAATTATCTTTAAGACTTTGCTAATTGAAGTTATGGGCTAGTCAGTGTTTTAAGGATTTTAATGAATATGAATGTATCCTAATGGTAACTCTATGAGATAGGCTATCACTATATTACAGGTGAGGAAAGTGATTTATTTCATAGGTTAAATAACTCATCTAAGTCAAAGCTAGTGAGTTTATAGAGAGTAGAGATTCCTAGCTCCAGCAGCGTGGCTTTGTGTTTTGTGCTCTTAACTGCTACTCTGTGCTGCTTGTGTCTGTCAATTAAATTAATAGGTTCCATAAAACATTGGCAATAGCATAGAAAAACTTGGTAACACTATGTTTGGTCACCAGGAATAAATTTTGAGTTTCATATGTTTTCTTAGGAAATAAGTTCATAAAATAAAATATGCAGTCCTTTTGGTTATTTTAGTTATAAGAATAGCTGGATTATAAACTCGTCATTTGTGATTTGACAACTCTTAGATGTCTAGTTTCTCTCAACAGCCTCCAAGGAAGTTTCAGGATCCTCAGTTTCAAAAACAAGTTTCCATTGTCATTTTTGGTATGTATCTTGTATGTAGCTTATAGATAGGAATTCCTCTCTGCAGTTAGAAAAATGTGTAATGAAACAGCATTAGATTGTGGTCTTTGTTTCCCCATTAGTATGAGACCTGCTTTCAGCAGTACATAAAGTGTCTACAACAAAAGATACCTGCATAGGAAAGACAGATGAGATTGTAGACATAGGATAGGTAGCAAGGGATCGTGTGTTTTGATTTCCATCTTCTAGGCGAGGCCAGTGACTATCAAAATACCATTTTTAGACCAGCAGGATCAATCTCAGAATTTATTTGAAATGCCAACTCGGTCCCCAGCCTCAGACCTACTAAATCAGAAACTCTGGGAATGGGACCCAAGAATTTGCAGAAAATTTATGACATACCATGAAGTTTGTACTAGCAGCGTGAAAGTGTGATTAGGCTGGCATTTTTTTTTTTCCTCTTACCAACTTAATTTCTTTTAAATTAACTTTTTGTTTTAGAACAGTTTTGGATTTAAAGAAAAATTGAAGATAGTACAGAGTTCTCATATATTACATTCAGTTTCCCCTATAATTAACATCTTACATTAGTTTGATACATTTGTTAGAATTAATGAACCAATATTGATGCATTATTATTAACTAAAGTCCATACTTAATTTTTACCTAATGTCTTTTTCTGTTCCAGGATCCCATCTAGGATACTACATTACATTTAGTCATCATGTCTTCTTGGGCTTCTCTTGGTTTTTACAGTTTCTCAGATTTCCTTCAAAACCCTGGCAGTTTTGAGGAGTACTGACTGGTCAGGTATTTTGTAGGATGACCCTCACTTGGGATTTGTCTGCTGATTTTCTTAGGGTTGAACCTCTGTGTATTGAGAAAGAAAACCACAGACGTAAAATGTCATTCTCATTGGTGGTATCATGGGTATATACTGTCAACATGTCTTAACATTTGGATTATTTGACTAGTATTTTTCAGGTTTTTTTAACTGTAAAGTTACTACTATTCTTTTTGTTTAGAAGGAAGTCACTATGTGCAGTCTAAGCTTAAATAGGAGTGGGGAATTATATTTCAAGGGTGGAAAATTTACATTATTTAGAATTTCTGCGCATAGGAGATTTGTCTCTTCATATTTTATTTCATTATGGACTCTATTTCCTATTTCAAGTTATAATCTAGTATTACATTGTTTTGTTTCTCAGATTGTTCCAGCTTTGGTTTTTAAAGCCATTCCATTGCTCCTGTGTTTTTCTGTTAGACTGCTATCCTCTCATTATGGGGTTTTTTAGTTTTTTGTTTAGTACTTTTTTCCTGCTACTTCAAGATGCTCCCTCCAGTTAGCCACTTCTCCAAAGATCCCTGGTTTATTGAAGAATGGTATTAGAAACTAATATCTGGATATTAGGTGTACATTCATAGCCACAGACTTGTCTTTGCTTCTAGGCTCACTTAGCTGATAGCAAGGAAATGTATATATCAACCTGTGTTTATACTTATATCTATAAATATTTCTATAAGTAACCATTTGTATCTACATTAAGCTAAACATGAATTCATACTTATATCTCCAACACTAACTGTTACCATGTACATCACTCTGGCCTCCTCATTTCTCTGTAACTTACTCCTGCAGTGAAAATGTGGATTCTTCCGTCTGCCATCCATTTACTTAATTGTTCAGCTCCAGTACACATGTATAGCAGTATCAGAATTACTAACTTCCCACGGGGAACAAATTTTATCAACTCGAGTACAGTGGGCATTTTGTTTGTTAGAGTTTTTTGCCTTTAGTCTTATTCAAGACTTGTACAGACTCAGTCACCTTTTGCCTTCACTTAGGTTGTTCCCTATGTTTGCAATAAGGCTTGCATTTTAATTTAGAAAAATCAGTTTGATACGAAGGTGTAATTGGAAGTAGTTAAAAGGCCAGATAGGATGAAGGCATGAAATGCAACAAAAGCAGTAGGAAGAGAAGGGGATAAATGAAGGGACTTAGGATCTTGAACTGAAACGTTTTAAGGACTAGAGAATGAAGGTTTTGGATAACTCCTAGGTTTGTGAACAAGACAGGGAATGTAGAAAAAGGTTTTGGATATGGAAAAGTGGTTGTCATAAAGGACTGCTGACTCCCAGGAATGTTTATAACATCCAGGTGAAGTAGTCCAGTCTATTGGTTAAGTTCTGAAGCTCATGGTGAGGCCTTGTCTGGCTCTCAGGATTTGGAAATCATAGGTTAATAATAATGTAAATAATTCTATTTAGCTAACTTTGAGGATGCAGAATTGATAGCATTCTGAACATTTGAGGGCACCTCAATGAAAATTCGAAAAACAATGACAGACCCTGCCCTGAAGTATGATAAAGTAGAAGTACACAGGTGCTGAGATAAGTCAAATAAAGGATTGTTCAGGCTTACACCCTGAATGTGCACTGTGTGTCCCCGAAACCACCTGTAATGAGTCCCTTTTATGAAAGAAGAGTTCTTTGCCAGGACAGAGAAGGAAGGCTGCTGGGTTGACAAAACAACGTAAATTCATAAATTCACCAGACTGTCTCTTGCTTGATTCTGTCAGCATCAGTGATCACACAGTTTAGTTAGGCATGATATATTCTTAAGGTGGAGGAAAATGTAAAGATTGTGTCAACAAATAAAATCTACAAGTTATAAATGTTCAATACATGGGCTTTATTAGAATTAATGGGTTTCTTATAATTACAATTGTGTGTAAAGCTTTAAAAGGCTCCCTACTAATGAAAGCAAGATTTTAATAACATACTGATCTGACTGATGACCTAATAGTAGAGGCCGACTTGGACTGGTTTTGATAACTCAAGGATTCCTTCAAGTACCTTCCCCAACCTCCATAAAACGCCCTAAGTTATCAGCAGGAAGAACCGGGGTTGGAGGCAAAAGGAAGGAACAAATTTAAGGGAGCAGAAAGCCAGTATCAAGATAATGAAAATTAGAACTGAAAGGTACTCAATTAGATGGAATTCTAGTTTAATTTTCCAGGCACGTAATTTAAAGCTATCAGGAAAAGTAATAACACTATTCACTTGATTAGGTTAGAAGACTTTACAAATTTTGCAATTGAGGCTTGGGAATTTAGTTATCAGTTACAAGTAATTCAAAAACGGTAGACCCAACTACAGCTAATTTTTTGTTCAAGAGCTTTTAGCAACTCGAGTGTAAATGCTCTTACTTAGTTTTTGGTCACCTCCATGTGATTATATACTATTATCTGTGTTTTACTGCTAGAGAAGCAGAAGCAAAGGAAAAATACCTACATTGCCTCAGGTCACATAGGTAGCAAATGGTGAGATTAGAGTTTTTTGAGATTAGATTTTAAATTGAGGGACTTTGATTCCTAAATCCTTAAACTCTTTACCATGACACTAAAGGCATCTAAGTCACCTAAACCTAAAATAGTAACTGCCAAAGTCACCTAAACCTAAAATAGTAACTGCCATTTTTTAATTAGTCTTTTTTTTTTTTTTGTTAGTATCATATGACCAAATTATCATGAAAGGATAGTGGGTATTCAGTTTTTGTGCCAATCAGTGGAGCCATTGACATACTTCATGAGGACCTCTAAAGGCTGGTGGGCAATTGACAAAAATTAAGGATTGAGTTACAAGACTGAATGAAAGTGACAGGCTCATAGCAATGAATTTGTCATGTAAAGACTTGTGCATGTAAGTTGGCCTTATTATCATCTGGACTTTGGGACAATTTTCCTGCATCTCTGTATACTTGACTGTGTACATAGGCAAAGAGTGTCACTGTAATGGGGTGAAAGAAAAGCAGCACATTAAAATTATTGGTGTGTTAAGCAAACAAACTCATTCTTCAATTATGTGAAAACTGGATGAGTTCTCATTGTGAAAAGCTAGGGAAGATGTTCCATGAAATTATGAGGGAAAGACTTTTTTTAAAACCACCTTAAAAGAGTGTTTAATGAATCAAGAACCAAATGTAAAATTATAGTTATAAATTATAGGGCCCTTCTTCCAAAGGGAGATCTCTAGCTTATATGGATGATTTACTTTGCATATGTTGTGCTTTGCCAGATAATCTTGAGACCAGCTGAATTTTAGCTTTCTTAATAGTTTTTCTCCAAAAAGTTCTGAGTTTGGTAGGTATGCAGTTTACAAGTTTTGTTAACATTTTTAATAAGATGTAAGTTTGTGAGCATTTTTAGCATTGTAGCCATCCCTTTGCTTAATTCATTTAACAAAAACACTTTTTAGTGACTTCCTTTGTGCTCTTGATAATTGACCAACCACAGAGGCCTCTGCTTCCAAGGAAAGTTAAGGTATACAACATGTTAATTTGATACATTTATATATTGTAATATGATTGCCATTGAAGCAATAATTGGCATCTCTATTGCATTATGTAATTATTACATAATCATAATTATTTTTGGTGGTTGGAGTAATTAAGTTCTAATCTCTTAGCAAGTTTGATGATGATAATACAAGTTTATGTTTTTATTCATTGTACTGGGTATTATATTTCTAAGGTGTATTAACTACATCTTATAAATGTGTACCTTTAAACTACATCTGCTCTGAACCCCACAACCTTTGTCCTGTGGTTATCACCATTTTATTTTCTGATTCTACAATTTTGGTCATTCAAAATTCCACATACAATTGACAGCATATAGCACTTGTCTTTATCTGACTTATATCACTTAGCACAATGTGCCCCTAAGTCCATCCATGTTGTCACAAACAGGATATCCTGTATATCCTACTAGGATGTATTCATGAGTGAATACACACTGCTCAGTGTATATACACTGCATTTCTTTAATCCATTTATCTGTCGGGATGCCTGGGTATCTCAGCAGTTGAGTGTCTGCCTTTGGCTCAGGGCATGATTCCGGATCCCAGGATTGAGTCCCAAATTGGGCTTTCTGCATGGAGCCTGCTTCTACCTCTGCCTCTCTGTGTCTCTCTCATGAATAAATAAAATATTTAAAAGAAAAAAATCCTTTATCTGCCAGTGGACACAGGTTCTTTCATATCTTGGCTGTTGTAAATAGTGCTGCAGTGAAGATGGGGTGCATATATCATTTTGATTTAGTGTTTTCATTTTCTTTGGATAAATGTCACAAGTAGAATTACTACATCATGTGATAGTTCTTTTTTTAGGGAACCTCCATACTGTTATCCATAGTGGCTGTAGCAGTTTATATTCCTACCAACAGCACAGAAGAGCTCCCTTTATATTCCTACCAACAGTGCACAAGGGCTTCCTTGTCTCCACAGCCTTGCCGCACCTTGGTTTTTCTGTTGATAGCCATTTGACTAGGCATAAGGTGATGTCTCACTGTGGTTTTAATTTGCATTTTCCTGATTAATTTTCATGCACCTGTTGACCACATGGATGGATATCTTTAGAGAATGTTAAGTTATTCTGCCCATTTTTTGGATTCTTTGATTTTTTTTTTTTTTTTGTATCCAGTTTAGGAGTTCTTTGTATATCTTGGATATTAACACTTTATCAGATATATGATTAGCAGAAGTTTTCTTCTCTACCTTGCTTTTTTATTTTGTTCTTTTGCTGTGTGAAAACTTTTAACTTTGATGTAGTCCCATTTTGTTGACTTTTTTGCTTTTGTTTGCACTTTTGGAGTCCTATTTCAAATATTACTATGACCATTGTTGAAGAGCTTTCCCTATGTTTTCTTCTAGTTTTATAGTATCAGGTCTTATGTTTAATGTCTGATCCATTTCAGGTTAATTTTTGTGAGCTATAGAAGAGTATAATTTCATTGCTCTGTGTTTATCCAGTTTTCCCAACACCTGTCTGTTGAAGAAACTGTCCTTTCCCCATTGGGTGTTCTTTGCTACCTTGTCAAATATTAGTTGGCCTATATATGCAGGGGTTTAGTTTTGGAATCTGTTCTCTTGGTCTATATGCCTGTTTTAGCGTTGGCACTGTGCTGTTTTGGTAGTATAGTTTGAAATCAAATGGGATACTTCCAGCTTAGTTCTTTTCCCTCAAGATAACTTTGGCTATTTGGGGTTCCATACAAATTTTAGGATCGTTTTTCTATTCCCGTAAAGAATGCCATTGGTATTTTGAGGGGGGTTGCATTAAATCTATAGATGGCTTCGTGTAATATGGACATTTTAATATTGTTTTTGATCCATGAACGTAAGATGTCTTTTCCATTTGTGTCTTGATTTTCTTTCAGCAAAGTCTTAGAGTTTTCATTGTACAGATCTTTCACTTCCTTGATTAAATTTATTGCTAAGTAGATTGTTTCTGATGCTGTGAATGGGATAATTTTATTTCGTTTTCAGATATTTTATCCTTAGTATATAAGAATGTGATTTATTTATATTTCTGTACTTTGTCCTGCAACTTTACTGAAATCACTGATTAGTTCCAGCAGGTTTTTTTGGTTGTGTGTCTTTGGGATTCTACATACGTAAAGTATATTAACTGCAAATGGAACAGTTTGACCTCTTCCTTCCTGATTTGGATGCAAGGGAAAACTTTGAGTTCTTCTCAACTGAGTAAGTTAGTTATGGGTTTGTCATAGATGGCCTTTGTTATGCTGAAGTGTGTTATGCTTCTATACTCAGTCTCCCAAAGTTTTCATCATGAAAGGATGTTGCATTTTGTCAGATGCATGATTTTTATCTTCCATTTCATTAATCTGAAGTAGGACATGTATTGATTTGTATATGCTGAACCATCCTTGCTTGTATCCTAAGGGAAAAATCCTATTTAGTCTCGGTTTTTAATCTCTGTGTTCTTGAATTCGGTTTGCCAATATTTTGTTCAGATGTTTTACATCTATGTTTATCAGAGATACTGGTCTATGGTTCTTTTTTGTTTTTTGGTTTTGAGACAGCATGCACGTGTGAGAAGGGGCTGGGGGTTGCAGAGGGAGAGGGAGAGGATCTTAAGCAGGCTCAACATCCAATGCAGAGCTTGATGCAGAGCTGAATCTCTCAGCCCTGCGATCATGACCGGAGCCAAAATCAGGAGTTGGGTTCTCAACTGACTGAGCCACCAAGACATCCCTTTTTTATTGTGGTCTTATTTGACTTTGGTACCAAAATAATGCTGGCCTTTTAAGATGAGTTTGGAAATGATTCCTACACCTCAAATATTTTAAGAGTTTGAAAAAGATTAGTATTTAAGAGTTTGTTAGAATTTGCCAATGAAGCCATCTTGTCCTGGGTTATATTTTCTACAAGAGGTTTATGGATTCAGTCTCTTGCTCGTTACTGGTATATTCACATTTTCTCTTTGTGTTTCATTCAATCTTGGGTAGGTTGTTTGTAGAAATTTGTCCATTTCTTCAAGTTTATCTAATTTTTGGCACAGAGTTCCTAATGGTATCTTACAATCTTATGTATTTTTGTAGTATCAGTTGTAAGATCTTTCATTTCTAATTTTCTTTCTCTGAATCTAGTTAATAAAATTTGTCAATTTTATCTTTTCGATGAACTAGCTTTTAGTTTTATTGATAGTTTTTTCCTGAAATAGAGTTCTGCTTTGATTTTATTTTCTGCTACCTTTAGGTTTGTTCTTTTTTTTCTTACTAGAAGTATACAATTAAGTTGCTTGAGATTTTTGTGATTTCTTTCCTCCCATTTACTTTCCTGTATCCCATAAGATCTGATGTGTTATACTCCCATTTTCATTTGTTATGAGATAGTTCATTCCCATTTTTTTGACTCCTTGTTTAGAAGTGTTTAGTTCCTACATATTGGTAGCTTCCTCTTACTGATTTCTAATTAATACCATTGTGGTCAGAAAAGATGGTATGATTTCAATCTTAAATTTGCTGAGATTCATTTTGTGCCCTCTTATAGGATCTGCCATAGAAAACGTTCATATGCACTTGAGAAGAATGTGTATTCTGCTCTTGGATGGAATGTTCTATAAAAAACTGCTAAATCATTTTGCTTTCTAAGTTGTTTTGGTTCAATTTCAGTGTTTCCTTCTTTTCTGTCTACATGTTTATTCTAATAGTATTAAAGTCCCCTGTTAAGGAAGTATCTCTCCATTTAAATGTGAGAATTTTTTTAATCCTGGTGCTTTGATGTTGGAGGTGTATGTATTCTCTCTTCTTGATGTATTTTATCATTATATGATTTCTCTGTTGCTTGTTAATGTTTTTTGGCTTGAAGTGTATTTTCTCTGGCTATGTATTGCTAAGTATTGCTACACACCCACTTTTGTGTTTTATTTATTTTTTGGTATCCACCTCCATGGAATATCGTCTTCTGTTCCTACACTTTGAGCCTGTGTATGTCTTAAGAGCCAAAATGAATTTCCTTTACACAGTGTAGTTTTTTTTTTTTTTCTTCCAGCCACTCTGTGCTTTGCTTGGTGAATTCAGTCCATTCATAATTACTGCCATCTTGCTGTGTGCATTCTGTTTGTTTTATTTGTAAAGTGAATTTCCATGATGATTTGTTCAGTCTTCCCTTTTTATATATATATATTTCATCACTAGATTTTTGCTTTGTGGTTACCAAGTTGCTTACATAAAACATCTCATAGGTAAAGTACTCCTAAGGGAAAACGTTTTTAGGAAATAGTTCAAGGACATTTTGTATGTAATAACATCTGATTAGTTACATCACACTGCCACGTTCATTCATTCATTTGTTCATAACGATCACCTATTGATTAAAGAGGATGAAAACAAAATAACTTAGGAAGCAATAACTTGCAAGTTACTGTAGTTGACCCTTGCACAATGTGAGGGTTAGAGGTGCCAATCCATCATACAACTTCACTCCCTAAAACTTTAACAGCTCATAGTCTACTGTTGAGCAGAAGCCTACCAATAGCAAAGTTTGATTAACTCACACTTTGTACATGTATGCTATATTCTTACAATAAAACTAGAGAAAAAATGTTAAAATCATCAAGAGTAAATGCATATATAGTGTACTGCAGGAGAAAAAAATCCATGTATAAGTGGACATGAGCAGTTCAGACCCATGTTGTTCAAGGGTCAACTGTATTTTTAACTTTGTAAGAAACAACTTTTTTCCAAGTTCCTTGCTGTATTTCATTTTAGGGAATTTTCAGGTTCTTTATGTCTTTCTGCCCTGTGACAAGTTGTTTTGTTTTCGCTGAGGAGGTTATGAATTTTTTTTAAAGAGACAAAAAAACTTCACAGTTGGACAGGATGGAAGTCTAAAATCAAAACCTGACATGAAAAGCAAGATTTATCAAAAAAACAATTTTATCCTAAGACTTTCAGTAACAATTTCAGTGGCTAGCCACTTGGCTGAGGCCTTACTACTATAATGCTTCTGTCAGAGTTCCTGCTGCTGCTTGAATTGTAAAGGCTGCAATCGAAATGTGTTTCTTTACTTCTGTCCAGGCTGAACGAGGGTCATCTTTATTTTCAATATCAAACATAGCATCATAGATACCAGGAAATGATTCTCCAGCATATTTGTTGTGACTGCTTGGAGCAAAGATGATGTGCCTAATAGAAAAAAAAAAAAAAAAAAAAGGTTGAGCTAAAGACTATATACATCATAAGTTACATTTTATATGCTTCTCTGTTTATTCCCTTTTGTTAGACTACATCTTAAGAATTCTATGTCTCCTTCTGGCATTCACTCTTTTACTCCAAAATGACCTATAATTGATTTAAGATACTTATGTATCTATTACTTATGTAATAGTGTAATTTTAAGCAGTGAAAGCCGACTATGCATTAAGATTAGTCTCAAATTGTGTTGCCAACCCATACAAATAGAAGAAAATGAGTTCATATAAGTTGTGTACATCAGTTGTCTGACTGCCAGCATTTACCCACATCGTGATAATAAGTATGTTTTATGGGTATATATAATGGGAGAGGAAACTAAAATATATCTGTGTTGCCTTTTTAAGAAATTCAACAAAAATAACACTTGTTTGCAGTATTTTAGAACATTAAAAATCAGTGCGCTTGTAATCCCAAAATATAAATGGTAAGGATAATGAAGTCCATTCCACAGAGTTAAAGGAATTATATATGAATTGCCTGCAGACACATTTAATTTCTGATCTAAAAGGACAGTTTTGCCATTGATTTCCCATTTCATCTCATAAGTACCTGAAGAAATCAATTCCAGAACTCTGGAATTCTGCCTTTCAGAAAGGGACATATTTTATTGAACACTTATCAGGAATTAGGTCCAACAGTCAAATCCTACAGCTTCGAGATGTAAATCTACGGAGAATACTGAAACTATGTAAGTCAATATTAATCTTATAACGCAAATCATTTCAGTTATCCAAAGTACATCAAGATTCATTGCTCTTGGCTTTTAAATAATATAACCTCAAAGGAATTTTCTTTACTAAAGCCAGTATATGTGCTGAACTGTTCATAAACATTGATATTTTGACTTACATATGAGTTACTACAAATAAAAGTTATAGCTGTTCATTAATATACATTCCCTCTACCACAGAATTGTAAAAGCAAGAGTAAAAAAACTAGAGATAAAATATAAAGACTGTACAAACCTGGTTTGAATCCTTGAATTGGCATCTAATACCCCCTGTGACCTTTCACCTTGGTTAAATTCTTATTCTTTGTGATGCAACTTTAAACGGAATTATTTTCATAATTCCTATTTCTGATAGGCCATTATTAGCGAATAGAAATAATAGATTTCTGTATATTAATTTTGTATCTTTACATTGAATTTGTTCATTTTAACAGGTTTTTGGTGGATTCCTTAGGTTTATTTACATATAAAGTCATCAGCAAATAATGGTTTTACTTCAGTATGAATGCCTTTTTCTTGCCTAATTGCTCTGGCTAGGACTACCAATACTGTGTTGAAAAGAAGTGGCAAGAAAAAGCTTCCTTGTCTTGTTCCTGATTTTAGAGGAAAAGCTTTTAGCTTTTTACCATTAAATTGGATATTAGCTATAGATCTGTCATATGTGCCCTTTATTGAGTTACATTTCTTCTCCTTGACTGTTTAATAAAAATGGATGTTGAATTTTGTCAAATGCTTTTTTTGCATCTATTAAAGACTTCATTTTGCTAATGTAATATATATAACATTGATTTGTGGATATTGAACCATCTACGTATCCCTGGAATAAATCCCATTTGTGGTTCATGATATTAATATATTGTTGAATTCAGTTGGCTAAATTTTGTGGAGGATTTTTGCTTCTATGTTCATCATATTGGCTGGTAATTTTCTTTTGACATCCTTGTTTGATTCTCCTATCACGGTAATGCTGGCCTTTTAAAAGGAGTTTGGAAGTGTTCCCTCTCTGACTTTTTGGAAGAATCTGGAAAGGATTGATACTGATTATTTTTTCAGTGTTTGATTTCATCAGTAAAGCCATCTGGTCCTGGACTTTTGTTCATTGGGAGGTTTATGATTACTAAATCAATCTCACTGATAATTGGTCTATTCACATTTTCTATTTCCATATTCATTTCTTTGTGATTCAGTTCTGAAAGTTTGCCTATATCTTAGGCTGTCCAATTTGTAGGCATATGATTGTTGGTAATAGTCTCTTATTTATTTCCATGGTATTAGTTGTAATGTCTTCATTTATTTGACCCTTTCTCTTCTTTTCTTGGTGAATCCAGTGAATGGTTTATAAATTTCATCTTTTCGGTCAGTTCTTCACCTCTTTGAACTTTTCTACTTCTTGATTTCCTTAGTTATTTCCTTCCAACTTTTGTGTTCAATTAGCAATAATCGTGCCTCAGATAAAACTAATTGGCTACAATACTGCCACTGTGCAAAGCTAACTTTTGCATTTGTCATTCTACTTCCTTGAGGTGTGATGTTAGGTTGCATGAGAGTTTTACTTTTTTCCTGAGGTGTAGGGTATTCATTGCTCGTGAACTTCAATCTTAGAACTGCTTTTGCTGTATCCCATAAATTTTGCCATGTTGTATTTCCATTTTCATTTTTCTCAAGGCATTTTTTTGTCTTTTGATACCATTGGTTGTTTAGTAGAATAATTTCCACCTATTTGTGAGTATTCCACTTTTCTTCTTGTAATTGATTTCTAGTTTCATACCACTGTGGTCAGAAAAGATGCTGGGTATTTCATTATTTCATTCTTAAATTCATTAAGACTTGTTTTCTGGCATAACATAGGACCTATCCTGGAGAGTATTTCACGTGCACTTCAAGAATGTGTATTCTGTTTTTGGATGGAATGTTCTGTATACATATTTTTGTTTTGTATGGTCTAATGTGTCATTTAAGGTTAATGTCTCCATGGTGGTTTGTTGGTTTTTTTTGGTTTTTTTTTTTTTATTATTTTTTATTTTTTGGTCTAGAAGCTAGCCATTTAAGTCTCCTCTTATTGTATTGCTATTTCTCTTTCAGTCTGCTAATAATTGATATGTTTAGGTGCTTTTATGTTGGGTGCATAAATACTTACAAATGTCAAAAGTATTTGACCCTTTTGTTTGACCCTTTTATTGCATAATTTCTTGGCCATGTGTATGTTGTCTTTGGAAAAAATAGAGGTTCTCTGCCCATTTTTTAATCGATTATTAAGGTGTTTTGAGTGGCATCGATTAGTATTTTAGATATGAACCCCTTATTTGAATATATCATTTGCAAATATCTTCTCCCATTCTGTAGGTTGTCTTGTTATTTGGTTAATGGTTTCCACTACTGCACAAAAGCTTTTTTAGTGTAATACTCAGTTTATTTTTGCCCAAGGAGGCCTATCCAGAAAATTGATTTGATACTGAGACACTTGTACCCCTGAAATAAATCTAACCTGATCACAGTGAATGATCCTTATATTATTGGATTCAGTTTACTATTTTGTGGAAGATTTTTGCATCTCTGCTCATGATTACTGGCTTTAATTTTCATGATCATATTTTAATTGCTATAGTCAAGATAACTGTAACAGAAGAGTTGCTGCTCTTGGGTGAGCAAAAGAAAATCATTACTTTTGATGAATCTACACCTGGTGAAGATGCTGTAAAGAATGAACAGTGGATTCAACAGTGGCAACAAAAGGTTTAGATTATTACATAAACTTAGGTAAAAAAGCAACAGCATACTTTGAGAGAATTGACTCCAGTATTGAAATAACTTGTACTGTGGATAAAAGTTTATCAAATGGCATTGCATACTACAAAGAAATCTTGTAAATAGAAGAGTCATTCGATATGACAAAATTCATGGTTGTATTCCTTTAAGAAACTGCCACAGCCACTCCAGCCTTTGGCACCACCACTCTCTGATCAGTCAGCAGTCATTAATGTCAAAGCAAGACCTTCCACCAGCAAAATGATTGCAACTACCTGTAAGCTTAAAAGATGGTTAGCATTTTTAGCAATGAAGTAATTAAAATATGTACTTTGTTTTTAGAAATGCTTTGCACACTCAATAGACTACCATATACAGTATAAACATAATATGTACTAGGAAACCAAAAAGTTCATTTGACTTGCTTTATTGCAGATATCTGACCTAATCTGCAGTATACCAGAAGTATGCCTATGCAGCTTTTTGGCATGTGGTTACTGGAGCCTTACCTTATGACAATGTATCAATTTAAAGTAGACTTTAACGAATGTTACAGTTTAACTTCGAAGGCATTCTAAAGCTCTCCATTTTTAAAACTCTTATCTACCCCACCACCGTGTCATTTTGAGGTTACATTTTACTTCCTCTTAATTTTGTGCATCCCTTATTATTGTAGTTATACTTTTACAACTTTTGTCTTAACCTTCATATTATTTAATCCATTACCGTTACTATAATGTTTACTAGTAAAATTTTCACTCTGTTTTCTTGCTACTAATTAGCACCTTTTCTTTGCAGCTTAAAGAACTTCCTTTACCATTTCTTATAAGGCCAGTTTAGTGGTAATGAATTCCTTTAGCTTTAGTTTGTCTGGAATGCTCTTTCTCCTTCAGTTCTGAGTGTTGTTTCAGGATAGAGTATTCTTGGTTTGGATGTCTTACATAATCAAAGTGATAAAATCTTGCCAGTCCTTTCTGACCTGCAAAGTTCCTGCTGAAAAATCTGATTGGGTTATGGAGGCTCTTTTGTATATAATAAGCAGTTCTTCACTTGCTTTTAAGATTCCTTGTTTTTGGCATTTTAATTATAATGTGTGTGGCTCTCTTTTGGTTCATTTTATTTGGAATTATCTATGGGCTTCCTGGATCTAGATGATTGTTTTCTTCTCTAGGTTAGGGAAGTTTTCAGTCCCTTTCTCTTCCTGTACTGGAAATGATGTTTTCCTATAAGTCCCTTAAGCTTTTGGGGTGGTTTCCCCCCCACCCCCCTGCTCTGTTTGGGTGAATTCTAGCCCCTGTCTTCAAGTTTAGTGATCCTTTCTTCTTCATCTAGGATGCTGTAAACACCTCTAGTATACTTTTCAGTTCAGTTGTGTCCTTCAGCTCTGTAACTTCTAATTATTTTTTAAGCTTCTACGTTCATCCATTCTTCCAAGTTTGGTTAACATCTTTATGGCCATACTTTGAACTCTTATCAGGTAGATTACTTACCTGTTACATTAAGATTATTTTTCTGTGGATTTACCTTTCATTGGAACATATTCCTATGTTTATTTTTTGTACTATGTGTTGGTTTCTGTGCATTAAATGAAACAGTACTTCTCCTGGTATTGAAGGAGTGGCCTGGTGTAGATGAACCTTTTCATCCAACCTTGCTTTATCTCATTTGTATCTCAAACTTTTGTGACTGTCCAAGCAGGCTATTTTTAATAGGTCCTGGTAGTTGAGGGTTTTCCAAGACCTGTCACTGTACCAAAGGGGAATATCTCAGTCAGGAATTAAATTCAGGGTGATTAAAGTCTGCTGCTTGAGGGTCTGGCTTCCAAAGGATGCAAATGTTTGATCTTGTGGGACTGCAAGCATAAGTAAGCTGTGGTGGTCACCAGAGCCAAGTGATAAGGAGGTGTCCCTTAGACACAGTAGTAAAAACTGGGCTCCAGATGAGTTATATAAGCTGCATTATGGATATACCAGCAAGCTGTTGTAAGGAAGAGCCCCAACCTGCATTTCCATAGGTCTCCAAATATAAGCGCCAGATCTGAAGCTTGCCCTTCAGGTTGAAGCTCCAAGGATAAGTAAAATAGCCTTCTTTTACAAAAAGAAGAGGGATACATGTTTTAGTCTGCTCTGTGCAGTGGCATGGGGGTTACAGCCTACCAAGCACTGTCTCTCTGGTGGTTTTAGCCTTATGAGGCCCAGCAACATAAGCCCCTCTAGCCCCCGGAGCCAGATGACCACAGGGTATTCTTTGGGTGGCAGCCATAGAAACCAGGGAGTAAGAGCTCCCCTCCAAAAGATGTTGGTGCTCTGGAACAGACAGAGTAGAGCACAAAAGATAGTACCTGCCCTCCAGGTCTCTGGTAAGGTTTACAGTTAATCCTTAGAAGTGTATTTAATTAGACACCTGCCCCTAAGGCTGTCCATGTTAGTAAACTTAAAGACATCTTTTCACTGGAAGACTGGGCTGCTTGGGTCTTGTTGCCTTTTGCTGTGCCTTAGGGGTTGCTGTTTATGACCTTTTTCTTCATTGGTTTCAGGCCTGTAGAACCTGTAAGCATTGCCCTACTGGCCACCAGAGCCAGACAATGTGCCGGTATCCTCTGGCAGAAGCTGTAAAAATCAGGGTATCTGACAAAAGTATAAAATCCTTTTTGGGATATACGCTCAAACTGGGGCATGCCCTATTTGAGGTATGAACCCTTCACTCCTCAAGGGAGAACCTCGGGTTTATGGCAGTTCTCAGACTCTCTCCTACTCTTTGGTATGGCCTTTTTCTTACTTGACAGAAAGGGGTTCAGCTAGTTTTCAGGTCTTTTCAGAGGAAATGGTTCCATATGTAGTTGCAGCTTAAGTGTGTCTATGGGAGTTGGTGAGTTTAGGATCTTCACATACTGCCTATCTTGCACTGCCTTGACTTTAGAAAATAGTCTTAATATTCAGGTAATAATTCCAAATATATTTTTAAAATACAGTGTTTTGGAGGGATAATGTAATACTTACATTTAAAAATGTGTTTACTCTTTGATCCTGAAATCCATATACTAAGACAAATGTTCAAATAGGACACAGGGACATACTAAGGGATGGCAGTACTTTTTCATAATAGTAAATAATTGGGGGAAAAAATTAAAAACTCAACAACGACTTTAAAAATTTATATATATATATATATATATATATATATATATAAAATATGCCATACAGAGGAACATTATATGTCAGATAAGAGCTAAAACTATATATTGACATGGGAAGATCTCTAAGATAAATTGTTATGAAAAAGCAAGATGCAAAATAATATATGGTCCTATTGAAATAGAAATGAATAAATATATAGATATATATACACATGTATTTTCTTTAACAAGAATAGCAAATTGCTGGGAGTGCATTACAGAAGTGCATTACAGAAAGAGCACAGTCCTTTTTTATCTTATAAGCTTCTATAGAGTGCATTCATTTTGAGAAAAAGATGTTTTGCTTTTGAATAATAGACTAATACAAGGAAGAATGGGTTAATCTGTAAATTTGCTTTCAGCTTTTTGCCATGTAAATACTTAATTGATGGTTATTTGTATTAATAAGTAATGCAAAGTAGTATTATTTATCACTTTATAAAAATAGCCATTTACTGAGTAAATGCCTCTGAGTTAAATCTTCCACATGCCTGCAATGTATATACCTTTGCGGTGAAAACAATTAGAGTCTCCTTTTATAGCTAAGGAGCCTGAGGTTTAGGTAAGTATTTTGCCCAGGTTACTTAGCATGAGCCAGAGCCTGGCTCTAAAACCCTGTGCTTACAATTAAAGGTTAAGGGGCACCTGGGTGGTCTGCAGTTGAGCGTCTGCCTTCAACTCAGGGCATGATCCCACAGTCTGGGATCAAGTCCCACATCGGGCTCCCTGTATGGAGCCTGCTTCTCCCTCTGTCTATGTCTCTGCCTCTCTTCTGTATCTCTCATGAAGAAATAAATATAAAAAAAAAAAAGACGTTTCTTCAGTGTGGCAGCCACCTTCATAAACCTAAATTATTCTATGGAAATAGATCTGGATTTATCGTATTTGATTTTGAGGGCTGAACAGGGACAAAGAACATTACAAGGAAAACAATCTCTATGAAGAAAACTTTGTTAATACAGACCTTACTAAAGATGGGGTGGACTTCCTCGTGAGGTAGTAAACTTCCTATCACTGGAAGATTCAGAGGCTGGATAGCTACTTATCTCAGATGATACAGAAAAGATTAACAGAAGTTTGACCTACCTAAGTCATAAGATTCCCTTTAAGATTCTATAGCTTTTAGATTTTCTTACACTGAATTATTTTTCAACTACCATTTTTCATTTACATTTGCAGCAAAACAAACATGAATTTTTCTGATACAACTTTTAGTATTATAAATAATCTAGCTCATATTCCTCTCAGCATACATCTTCACCTTCGATTTATCTAATGACAAAGAGTTTAAACCACACAGGTTTTGGTCAAGTATTTAATGTCCTTTAGAGAAATAGGTGTTGCTTCCTTACCTATAGAACCGCCTCCCTGGTAAACCAAGGGGATCGATGAATGCTCTCTCCAGGAGCATCAATTGGTCATTCATGATTCGCACTGCAATAGGACTTTGAAAATAAGAAACAGATAAGTATAACCCTTCCCAGGGAACTATATTTTAAAATAATACAGGATAAAGCATGGAAAAATAAACTTCTAAAATCAATAGATTGAGAAAATGCATATTAACAGTAATGCTTTAATGCATATAATACATATAATGGCATCTTTCTATTATAATAAGACAGACCTATTGGAAATGATTTGTTTTTCAAGACCACAGAAAGATTATTTCTTCCTAAGAAGAGAGCCTGGCCTGCAAAAAGGCAGATTGGGTGTACCATCAAGTTCTTGATAAGCCATTTCGTTACACTGAATAAAGGCTGAACAACAACAAATGAAGGAAAGTTGCAGTGGTTTGCAAGAAGAGTAGGAGATAGTTTCACATCAGGGGCAGGGAATCCCCTTTCACACTTGAAATTTGCCAACTCTTTTTGGGCATAAGTTCTCTGGGCTTTCCTACAACCCAAGGGGGGAGAGAAGCCTCTCAAAATGAAGGATACATCTTTCTGCCAATATGGGTGGTGGAAAGCTTATTCTAATTTGAAACTTACTTATTAAGATCAACTTGTCTAAGTCTTCTATGAAAATCTGAAGCAGCATCTGAGAAGTTCTTCACAGCAGAAAATAAAGAATCTTTTTTAAAAATAGAAAAGTGGAAGGTAAATTACTAATTGCTTATTTCCTGCCCTCCCCATTCCAGGTTTATATGATTAAGTAGACACTGAAACAATTTTGAGCCTTCCTGTAGATCATGGAAATTCCCAGAAAATACTGTAACAAAACATACAAAATAGAAAATGTCTACATTGGTGTTTCAGGAAAGAACTTTTAAGAGTCTAGGACATAAATCTTTTAACTCATGATTTACCAGAAATGCATCGTTCATGTACTCATTTAATATATATTTATTGGTACAACTTATATATATGCTAGATACTAGGTACAGCTATCTATGAGCTATATTCCTGCAGTTAATACAGGCTAAAGTTAATCCCTCTTTGTAAAGAGTGCATGTAAGGTCATGTTTAAAGGCAACCTGTGACGAGCCAGCATATGTGGACTCAAATAGGATCTGGTTTCGTCTGGGAAAGCTTTTTCCTTAGTGTACAAAAATTCTAAGGAAAGGGAGAAGGTTCTCTGTGTATTTTTTTTATTAAAACCACCTATTTATCATTTTCCATCTTTTCTAAATGGAACATTAACAAATTACTAATTTCCTTCTTTTCATTAATCCTGGGATGCAAGGGATACAATATTCATTTTACAGATAAAGCACTGTACTTCTAGATATAGGACTTCTGATAGATCACACAGCTAGTAAATAGTGTATTCGGTATAAAAGAGAAGTCCTGTTTTTGTCCTAGACAATCATTAAGCTCTCATTTTTATTGCTGTTTTTAAAACTAACAAATAATATAGTAATAGATATTATGGAGGCTAAAGTGCTGAGGAAGGAATTTTAAATTTCCAGTGAACCACAATGAGTCCAGATGGATAAATGAAATGTATTCCTGGTATTCACACAGATGAATGATAACTTCAGCATAAGCATTTTCAGTAGAGTAGTAGGAAGACCGTGCACTGGAATGGTAGAAGGAAGAAAAGAACTAGAGACAGGAAGTGTCTGGATGGATTATTATATCCATCCCATCCACCAACCCTTTATTAAAACATTTTCTCCAGTACTGTTTTTGCCTGGCACTAAACGAAGAATTTTGACTGGGAATGAAGTAGGACACATTAGGTAGAAGAAATGTTTATAAGATAGAAAATTATAAGAGTGGTTAATGCAGATGGAGCATCACCAATGAGATGGAGAGTTTGACAACATGGGAGAGGAGGAGTTAGGTAACAAGAGAGACTAGGTTAATTACCCTGTGTAAACAGAGTCCCTCCACTTTGTGTGCTTTCTCTCAGTTGGATGCTGACTTCAATTGATAAAAATTAACCAAAAGAAAATCAGGGCATCTAGGAAAGGAATTCGATGCTGGATAGCCATAGAACTATGAATGTCCCTAGTGCTGTGGGCTCTCCTTATTTCTCCCATTTAATTTCTCTTCACTTGCCCTAGCATTACAAAGATTCTCCAATTGAAATAAACACAATTTCCTTAATTTTCTTTGCATCATTTTATCTAGACCTTAGTACCTGTTGCTCATCATAACTTTGAAGATGACTAGTATGGATGTGGTAATATTCAAAAGCCATTACTGACTACTCTGTACTTCCTCTTTGTGTTCCTATAGTATTCTCTGTATACGACTAGAACTTGTCCTGGCATTTGGTCATCTCCCTCACATGAGATTCTGTACTCTTTGAGGACAATAACTTATTCTACACATCCTTATATCCTCCCAAGAAATAACACATCATAACTCGTAGATGGTAGACACTGAATACATATTTGATAATTTTGGTATATACTAAGAATGTGTATTTCCAGATTTAAAAAAAAATGGTTACAATAAAGCCCTACTAGTAGGTAACATTCATAAGCATAAGTGCCTGGCACCATTGTTTCTATATATTAGCCAACTGCATCACCCACAGCAGTCTTGGAAACAGGTTATATTTTCACTGGTAAGAAAACTGATAAGAAAGGGATCAGGTACCTTTCCCAACATCACACAGTGATTAAATACTAGTTAGAGCCAAGATTTGAACTGGGTAACTATTTCCAGACTCAGTACTACAGCACTACATTTCATCCCTGCTTTGTAGGAGGCACATTGTATAGAACAGTAACTACAAAATGCTTATATAAATTATAAAATGAAAGAATGCTTGAGACCATGTAGGAAAATATATACAATAATAATGATAATTACATAGTGCAATTGGTTTTCTGTTTTCCCATCTTTGTGTAGTATTGTATTTTTAGCATATTAACAGTAAAAATATTTTTAAAGGCAGCAATAAAGGGAAAATCTTTGCCAACCCAATGTTTGTAGCACTAACTTAGCAAAACACCGGGATATATTCTAGAATGAGTGTATACAGTGATGACAAGAGGAGACCGTATCTTAAAGCTCTAACTTGAAGATTATAAAATACCCAGCCATTCTTACCAAATGATACTCCATGGTCTCTTAATTGCTGGTCATGTTTCTTAGATAAATTGTAGATACTTGTTGCATAGTTTTTCAAAGCTTTTGCATAGTCTTCAATATTGAAAGGAATGATTTTAGAGTCTGCGAGCTCATAAACCAGTGCTGCTCGTAACTGAGCCACAGAGAGCTGTTTTTTAAATGTAGGGTCATAAAAATTCTCTACTAATTCAAACGTCTCATAAATCGTATGGTATACCGGGTAGCTGCTGTACTTTTCTGTTTTCTGAGAGGGGAGAAAAAGGGCAGGTATTAAATATAGACAAACATCAAATACTCAAAGGACTGATGTAATCATAAGTGCAGAAAAAAATAATACTAAGTGGCACCCTGAGTTTTATCACGATGAAGCAAAAAAAGAAAAAAAAAAGTTGAAATCTAACTATAACACTATCACCAGCTTAAAATTTAACTGCTTTATAATTCATGTAATCATTCAAAATACTTCCTGAAAGTTGTCTTTATTTCTGATAACTGAAATTAAGGAGTACATCCTCAAATTGCATATTAACACATAAAATTATCAATTGGATACGAAAGGTTCTGGGTGGCTAAGATCTGTACAGTTGAGGAATTCAGTATCTAAGCACCTTCTCTGCCTTTCCGAACAGTATAACCAAATGCCATTTACCCTTTATTACATAATTATGGGCTACCATTATAAATCATTACAAAGGGGTATTTTATATAAATATTTTTTGACTTCTTAGGGCTGCCTTTCCTAAATTTAGTTTTTGTCTGTTACTTTGCTCTAAGAGTAAGATTTTCTTTTGCTTTTAGTATCACTAAAAGGAATCCCGTTTCAGTCTCTTAATACTCTTTTAATCCACAAGGTCTTAGAAACTAGATAACTTTGTTCAGATTGATGACAGAATGTAAAAGTTTAATGAGTATTATACAGATTTATGCACTTGTTTTGGGTTACTTTGGAGCTGCTTTGGCTTTCATCTCTGTCCTTCGTCATATTCTGGATAGTCAAATTTGCAAGGGGTATGTATTATAGTCAAGCAAGGCATTGGGGATTTGTGATTATGATTTGAAAATTACTAAAATCTGACAAATCTGAGTTTACTGATGTATCTTCAGTTTGGTTTATCACATAATTTATAACATAGCAGCCATGGTATATGTTGGCATATCCTACGACCTGTATATCATCAATGTGTCTGAATAACAATGGTACAAAGTAGTCAGTGCAGAACAGAAACGAGAATCAACTTAAAAATTAGGGGGAACTTGTTTTATTCCCTGCTCCTCAAGAGCCGTGGACTCAGATGACAGGCAGGATGGGGATGTGAAGAGGGGCCATGGACAGTAAAGACTCTTGGCCTGGCATCCCCTGTAACGAAAACAGGTTCTTCACCTGCACGTTTTCCTCAGGAAAAGGTGAGAAGAATGAGATTTTCCAACAAAAGCCTGTACAGAAAAAGGCTACAAACTACTTGGTTCTGATAACCAGCCAAGTCCCTGGCATTACTCTGTCAGCTACCACCACTTCACTGAATAATCCTACAGGGAAAATTCATAGAATAACCCAAATTAATTCCTAGTCCATCTACAAAGGGACATGAAGTCAGCCTTTATCCCTCGAATTCTTCTGGGCCATGTGACCTGGTGCCCAAAACTAAACTGTTTAAAATTCCTAACAAAAAGTTGGATAAAGTGCTTTGTATCCAAAAGAATAAAACGGCTTACCCTATTCTTAGTGTAACGAGCTCTGCCTGAAGCAATTCCAAGTCTCTGAAAATAAGCTTCAAAATCACTTCCAGATCCAAGTTTGTTGATTCTAGATGTAGGATATAAATATACACACAGATGGGAGAAATAAATACATAAAAAAATTAGGAACTTAAATAAATGCAACAATGAATCCAAGCAAAGAACTGCATAGCACATTTACAAGAATTAGGAGAAGGTACAGCACTCCAGGATACTTTACTATATCATGTCCTAGAAACTGGTGTGATAAACCTGTAATTCTGCATTGAGTGCAGCCAGAGTTGAACACTGCCAAAGACAGCAGCCTAGTGACTATAGTCGGATATTTCCAGCATTTTATGGCATTTATTTAGAGGGGAAAATAAGATTTGGTCACTACCCTCCAAGAACAATATTAAGAAAACTGCCATGATAAAATATATTTAAAAGAAAATAAATATATTTAACATCATGAGGAATCTAAATGTGCCCTATTTAGAAATTCAATTACAATATAGGGAATAGAAGGGAAGGGAGAAGAAATGGGTAGGAAATATCAGAAAGGGAGACAGAACATTGAAGACTCCTAACTCTGGGAAACGAAGTAGGGGTGGTGGAAGGGGAGAAGGGCGGGGGATGGGGGTGACTGGGTGATGGGCACGGAGGGGGACACTTGACGGGATGAGCACTGGGTGTTATTCTGTATTTTGGCAAATTGAACACCAATAAAAAGTAAATTTATTATTTAAAAAAGCAATATAGTTCTTTGCATTTACTAAAGAAATGACTACACATTTTTGTATACATATGTAATGAAAATTCTTAATAGTAAAAGCAGAATATAAAACTACATATGCATTAGGAACAGAACTATATACTTCTAAACTATTATGTGTCTGAGATTTAGACCTTGGATTTTTTTTTTTTTTAAGGCTTTATTTACTTATTTGAAAGACAGAGGGGAACACAACTGTCAGGGAGGGGCAGAGGGAGAGGAAGAAGCAGACCCCCTGTTGAGCAGAGAGCTAAAAGTGGCTTGATCCCAGGACCATGACCTGAGCCAAAGGCACATGCTTAACCAGCTGAGCAGCTCAGGTGCCCCTGACCTTGGATGTTTTTTAAAAGCTTTTCTTCTACTCCAGTATTTTTTTTTTAAATAAGCATGTGAAATTTTTATAGTGGAAACACAAACCTTCACAAGACTTATTTGGAATATGGAATAAAGTTATAAAGTCCTACCATCATCTGCTAGTTTTCAGAGATAGTATTGCAGGAGAAAAAAAAAATCAAGAAAGCTGCTGTTGTATGAATAAGAAGTAAAAAACTAATAGTATTCTAAATTGATTACAGGTAGGAGTGCCTGGGTGGCTCAGTCGGTTAAGGATCTGCCTTCGGCTCAGGTCATGATCCCAGGTCAGATCTCCCCTCAGCAAGAAGTCTGCTTCTCCCTCTCTCTCTCCAACCCGCGCTTAAATATTTTTTAAAATAAATTGATTACAGGTAAAGGCACAATTTGGTTTTTATAATGCCCCTTAGGTTTATAAGAAGATAATCCACTTTTTGACATCATCATCATTTGGAGTTAATACATCTAATATCTGAAATTTAATGCAAAAATGCAAAATAATACCTGTTAATGTGACATAATTTTGACAAAATCTGCAAAACTGGAATCTATTATAGATTCTAAGACTTGGCTATTCTGTCTGATTAGCAAATCAAAGGCTACAAAGAGGGATTCTGTGGGATTATCTTTCCTCTACTCTGTTGACACATCTGAGAATTGCATGTCTGGAGAAACAAGGGGCAAAGAGGAGTTCATGATTTGTCCTATGGTAGAAAGCATACAAGTAATTTACCTAGGTAAATTTATATTTTCAGATGAAGGATCCTTTTCCAACCAGCTTTCATAAAGAGATTTACTCTCAAAACCATCATCTGGGCTAGAGATCTGGAAAGAAAAACATTGTGAATTAGAGGCAGAAGCAACTAAACTTATGCCAAACATGAAGCCATATGCGATCAATTTCTAATTATATGGATGTGTGTCATGTTCTTAATAGAAAAACAAAAGCAAATGGCAAGGAAAAAATCCAACCAAATTCTCGTTCAATTTTGTTGCCTGCCTAATGTAATTTTGCCATGTACCTGGGGTAAAATTTCCTGCTGCTTTTGGTAAACTTTACGAGAGTTTCAGATTTTTAACAAATGTCATCACTTTGATTTCTGGCAGCTTAGATTTCTTTTAGTAACAAGTCAAACTTTGGGTAGATGATTTACTTTAGTAAATTGCTTTTGTTCAAGAAGACCTGTAAGAAGAGGCCTCAGGGCAACATATGGGTGAAGAAGCTGAGCTTGAAATTGGCAACGTAAGTCCTGGTTTGGTAAGGCAGGTGGGTGAAGGAAGAACTGCTATTTTAGAAAGTCAAATTATATTTAAACAGAGTTGGAATTTGATGCATTTTAAAAGCTTGCATAACGTCATATTCCTATTTAGAAATTTTAAGAGCTTCTATGAATACATGAACCTCTGTACCCTCATTAAAAGTATGCCCATAAACATACTTTTCTTTTTCCACTCTAAGAAAAGCAGAGCCATGTGGTGGAAAAACTGTAGACTACGAAAGCTAACATCTATTTTAGATTCATATTATCACACATACAGCCTGAAATTTGGTTATAGATCTGCTTTGTTCAAAAAAAAAGGAAAAAAACAAAAAACAAACAAAAGGCATACTTTACTTATGCAGCCCTGAAAGCATTATAACCTCTGGTGTACTGCTTCCCTTCTTTAAACCCTTGTTTTCTGAGGCACTGGGTAGCTCAGTGGTTGAGCATCTGCCTTGGCTCAGGTCGTGATCCCAGGGTCCTGCAGGGAGCCTGCTTCTCCCGTGGCCTACATCTCTGCCTCTCTCTCTCTCATGAATAAATAAAGTCTTTTAAAAAGCAAAACAAAACAGAAAACCCTAGTTTTCTCACACTGCAGAAGTGGGGATAGTAGTCCCCATCTGAACATAAACATCAATTCCTCTGATATTTTCTTTGGCCTTCTACAAAGTTGGTTGTTGCCTCATCACTGCATAGGAGGCCCTCAGCTTGGAAACAGTCCTGACACTCTAGTCATCCCCTTGCCGACCAACATGTTGCAGCTTTGGAGATGTTTTGTTCGTCTCCAGCCAAATCACTGGGTTCTATCCTACTCTGTTCCTGACAACTTGCAATAGCTGAGAACCTGCTCCAACTCACACATCCTGCTTATTAGATTGAATCCTTGAAAAATCCTTTCATTTTCTGGAATCACCATCTCAGTCTAGCACTAACCAGAATGGTGTCCCTTCAGCCTAGTCACACTGTAATGTGATACTTACTTCAAAGAAATATTTTGAATATTTTATTTGAATTAAGATCTATAATGAACAATTTAAATGAAGTTCACAGATGTTGAAGGATTATGTAATTTTTAGAGTACAAAGTTCAGAGTATTTTTTTATCAGTAATATTTACAAAATTCCTGAATGATTAAGTAGAATTATCTCCATTTTGCTGTTAGAGTCGCTACAGCTTAATCTATTCAGTACGCTGGTACAGAGTGATCTTTCTAATGAACAAATATGAAATGTATAATCTTGTTAAAGATTTTTTAAGTTCTCCATCACCAGATTTCTGAATTTGTTCTACTTGTCAGGCTCCATTTCTTACCATCTTTCCACCAAAACCTTATGCTTACAGTCTCTTTCATATCTCCACATCTGTTTTAGGTACTGTGTTCCATGCTGAGAATGCCTTCTCTCTTACTTTCACATACTTCCATTTTACAGCCCAAGCACTAATTATTCTGTAAACCTCTTCTGATGCTTCCCCAGCTACCCCAGGATTTCAGATTCTCTATCCCAAAACTATTTTCCATTGTTTGTAGTATCCAATATTCTACTGAAGTGTAATTCCTCACTTATAAGTGTATATCCTCTCTAGATTACTAAGTATTTGGATTCCGTGACTTTGTCTTTTTATCATTGTTACTATTAGAATTCACATTAGAGGGCCCTGAACCCAAGGCTTTTTCCACTTCAGCTCACTGAAAATACCTCTACCACATGAAACTGTATACCCTATGCATGACAAAAGTGCACACAATTATTAACAGCTGCTATTAGAAGACTCTAGTAATACTATTTTTATAGTTAGGACATTTAAATAGTGTATTAAAGATTTTGTTCTGACTTGGTATTTATACAGATCAGCTTTGAATTTTTAAGGTACAGTTTACACATCATACCACTAGTTAAGAAAACAGGTGTTATTCACTTATCCATTCATCAGAAAACATTAAGACATCTATTTACCTCTTTTGTCAGTTTATATACCAATTGGTAAAGAAGGGGTGTACAGTCAACTCTGAGAGTATAATTGCCTGAAAAAATAAAATACAGTGATTTTAATACTTCCAAATGAAATTCCAATGTCTAATTCTATTGTTAATTGTAAACAAGATATAATAGATTTGAAATTGGAGGCATCATTTCCAAGGAATTAGAATAGAGTAGAAATAGTTCTTTAGGAGCAAGAGATGCTGTAGGGTATATTTAAGACACAGGTATAGGAAGACTTTGCTAAGGCAGCAGGTCCCATAGTAATCATAACATCATTCTTAAGGTAGTATCTCTTACAGGGACTTTGGCAAAGGATGTGGTAAACTATATCATTCATTCCTTACTTAATTCAACAGTATCAAGACATGAGAGTAGAGCATTTCAGTAACTTTATAAGTATGCTCTGAATTTTACCTAGACCTCATCATACAATGAAAGCCTAGAGACACAAATGTCCCATATCAGGTTCCTAGGGAAGTCTATAGTTGTGCTTATCTCAAATTGTTCCAATACATAAAGGAAATATTTCTACATGGAATATTTTGTAAAATATTCTGAAATATTTTAGCCTAATTCCTTTAATATCACCACAGGAAGAATATGGTTAATACTAGTAGAGTTTTAAGTAGTAATTCAAGATAGGCAAATGGCAAATATACTAAAGAAATTAAGATCAATAGTTTAGTTATGAATCATATACTGATTCATTTGAATCATAATTTTCTCTGGCAAAATGGAACATGAAGGTATCACTGAGGAATTTCATAGAAAAATAAGTTTACAAGTTATAATTTGCGGACTTAAAAGATGATATGCTTTTTAATAATCTGAAAGAAAATTTACCTTCTATAGATGAATCTGAGTTGATATAAGCAATGCTTCTCTCCTGGAGTGTTTTTACATTCTCCTACAGTTGAAGCAAAGTTGTTACTGAATTCACAATATTTACAATTGTGGAAATGTTAAAAAAAAAAAAGAAAAGAAAATTAATGCCTAGGTCTTTGACTATAATTTCTAAGGAAATGCAGATATCTGGCTGATTGACAACATTAACGCAATTAAAATAAGGAAAATACCAGGTAGCTACTGTTTGTAGGAATTGTCAGAAATATTTTCAAAGTGTGGTTCCTTGATTACTTGGCATTAGGATATAAAGTGCTGAGGCTCCCCAATTCTGGGCCCCTCTGCAGACCTACTGAGGAAGAATTTCTGAAAGGTCAGGGAATCTATTTTCTACAAAGTATCTCTGGAAATCCTTACACACACTGAAGTTTAAGAGATCTATTGAGACTGGATAATGAAGTAAAATTTTAAAAGTGAGAATCCCACTTACCTATTTTTAAAAGAAGAGATATGAAGAAAAAATTTTAAAAAGGATAGGAAAACCACAGAGAAGAAAAGACATTTCAATAATCTCTCTCCTCTCCTCCCCTCCCCTCCCTCTCACTTTAACACACACATACACAAACAGACACACAAAATAATACCACCACATTGATGAAAATATGCTGAAGGAGCCTTTTTACTTCTAACTTGCTACCTCATAAGAACATGCTATCATAGGAGGCAGTCCAAGATAGAAGCATAGAAATAGCCTGAACTCAGTTCCCGGACACACCAAATCTATACCTACATATGGAGCACTTCCTATATGAAGAGGAACTAAGGGCTGAACGAAAAGCTTCTGCACAACAAAGAATAGAAGGACCACATAAAGGAACAGGAGAGACACGGTAACCTTGGTAACAACCACCCCTCAGGGAGGATATCACTGAGGGGCCCATGTGCAGACTTAACCACCCTGGGGCACTGAAAAACAAAACAAAAATTGTAGTTTAAAGGGAAACTAGACTATTAAGTGAAGGAAATTCATTTATTAATAACTCTAGAATGTCTGCCAAGTGGTAGAACTGCTGAACTTTCCAGGATCAGAGGTATTCAGGCCCCTAACCTAATGCCAGCTCCAATTGCCCATCAAGGTGACCCAGGCACAAAGCACCCTCATCTTACCTAAGCCTGGTCTCATGCCATCTCCAGCCATCCCACCAAAGCAGCCCAAAAACCCCTGGCCTGAGCCTATTCCATTTCAGCTGTCCCTCCAGAGTGAACATGGTGCCAATCACTCCAGGAACGCCTGGATTACACTTGCTTCAGTTGTAACTGACCTGACAGAGTGCTTCTATGCAGAGTGCCCCAGCTAGCCAAAACCACCAAGTACACAGCTTACACAGGGGACATTTTTACATATCGCCACTTCAAGACTAGGAGAGAGGTGGCCATTCCACCTAATTCATAGAAACAAAGAGAAAAATCAGGAGAGAGAGAAGAAGTTCCAAACAAAAGAACAAGACCCAGAAAAAGAACTAAATGAAACAGATAATCCGTTTATAATCCATCTTTGAACTCCTTATAAAGAGTTCAAAGTAATGGTCATTATGATGCTCACCAGACTTGGAAGAAGAGTGGATTAATTTAGTAAGAACTTCAACAAAGAGAAAATCTAAAAAGGAACCCACCAGAACTCAAAAATACAACTAAATGACAGCACTAGAGGGAATCCACAGCACAGTAAAGGAAGCAGAACAGATCAGTGAGCTGCAAGACAGGGAAACCAAGCAACCAAGGTGAACAAAAGGAAAAAAAAATAACATTAAATTTATTACTATTTTAAAGATTGTATTCATGAGAGAGAGAGAGAGAGAGGCAGAAACATTGGCAGAGGGGAGCCCTCTTGCACTGTTGGTGAGAATGTAAATTGGTGCAGCCACTATGGAAAAGTGTTGAGGTTCCTCAAAAAATTAAAAATAGAATTAACATATGATCCAGTAATTCTACCACTGAGTATTTACCCAAAGAAACTGAAACACTAATTCAAAAAGATCTATGCACCCCTGTATATATTACAACATTATTTGCAATAGCCAAGATACAGAAGTAATTCAAGTATCCATCAATGGATGAATAAAGATGAGGTATGTGTGTGAGTGTACACTGGATTACTACTCAGGCATAGGAAGGAATGAAATTTGCTGTTTGTGACAACATACATGGACCTAGAGGACATTATGCTAATTGAAGTCAGAGAAAAATACTGTAGGATTTTACTTATGTAGAATCTAAGAAATAAAACAAATGAACAAACAAAAGCTCATAAATATAGAGAAGTGGTGGTTGTCAGAAGGGAGGGGAGTAGGAGGATGGCAAAACAGGTGAAGGATTAATAAGTACAAACTTCCAGTTGTAAATAATTCATGAGGATGTAAAGTACAGCATAGTCAATAATATTATAATCTTGTATGGTGATAGATGGTAACTATGTTTACTGTGGTGAGCACTGCATAATGTATAAAATTGTCAATCCACAACTTGTACATCTGAAATTAATATAATATTGTCTGTCAACAATACCTAAATTTTAAGATTATAATAAAAAAATTAAAGCTGTGAGTGGTTATGGCACAAAGTGAGGACCATTGGCTATATTCACTTGACCACAATGGCCAGATGGCAGTTGCCCCTGCTATAAATGCATATAGAATCAGAGTGTCCACTATAACACATTTTTAGTAGAAAGAAAGATTCCTTAACTATATTTAAAGAAAGTATGCTACTGAATATGATCAAGAATTGAAAACTGTTACAATTGTCCCTAGCCCAGATTTATTTAGATTAATGCAAAGTACATTTATTTCTTTATAGCTTAGATTTTTTTTATCCTTGAGCTGCTTAAAATTAGAGACACATATTTATATTTACATGTATTCACAAGAATTTACATTTCCAGAGGAAATTTATCAAAATTAATAGTCTGCTTCCAAAAAAATGCATATTCATAATTACCGATGTGATGACAAAACTTTGCAACATCCACTGAATATAAGGGTAAGTGATAGGAGACAAATAACTGTATGATTTTATCCCCATATTTGTTTCATTCACATTACTATTTTAAAGTGCAGTGAGAAAGGGACATCTGAGTGGCTCAGAGGTTGAGCGTCTGCCTTTGGCTCAGGGCGTGATCCCGCGGTCCCAGGATTGAGTTCTGCCTCGGGCTTTCCACATGGAGCCTGCTTCTCCCTCTGCCTATGTCTCTGCCTCTCTCTCTTTCTCTGTGTCTCTCATGAATAAATAAATAAAATCTTTTCAAAAAATAAAGTGCAGTAAGAGGAAATGAGTCAGGAGGAAAGTATTTAAAAATTAAACAAGAAATGTATGACATGCTTTAAAATAATTCTATAGGGATCCCTGGGTGGCGCAGGGGTTTAACGCCTGCCTTTGGCCCAGGGCGCGATCCTGGAGACCTGGGAAAAATCCCACGTCGGGCTCCCGTGCATGGAGCCTGCTTCTCCCTCTGCCTGTGTCTCTGCCTCTCTCTCTCTCTCTCTCTCTCTCTCTCTCTCTCTCTCTCTGTGTGTGTGTGTGTGTGACTATCATAAATAAATAAAAATTTTAAAAAAATCTTTAAAATAATTCTATAAAATCTCAACTCATAAAAAAAAATCTCAACTCATAAAAGATAAATGCATGATTCAGGGAGAGTAAGTGCTTTTATATATTGCACCTGTCTTTACAAAAATGTGTGTCCTTAACATTGTACATTAAAGAACTTTGTTACTCGGTGGGAGGCCTAGGGAAGATGATGAAAGAAGGGGACCTAGGAGAAACACCTACAGATCAAGCATTAGGAGCCAGTGTGAAATGAAAAATCAATCATATCTGAAATTCAATCATACCATAAATATCTGAAATTATAAAGGCAATTTACTAAAGTAATTCCATTTCCAAGATTATCTTCTACTCAATAATCAACCACTTACCTTTTTTAAAATGGTAATATATACCTATGGTTGCAATGTATATGGAGTCTACAAAATGAAATTATAATCCAGTCACCTTACTAGATCACAGGTTTTCTTAGAACTCCAAAGCAACTTCAAAACTTGAAAATCAACTCCAAGGATCTGTATCCATTTTTATATAGGCCCATCTACTTTCAGAAAAGCTTGCTAGGTCTGATTATTCTTTGAGCTTACAAATTTCACTTATTAGCAAAACAAATACAAACAGGAACCAAAATGTTTTGACAAGAATAAATTTGGATTTAGTCCAGTAATTAAGAGATTACTCTGCTTTGCCAAACTGATGTGAAAATAAAAACAAACTATTTCTTAAATTCTTGCATCTTTCTCCAAATTAAACCTATTTTAGGTCATGGAATCTATCTCTGTATCTCTGCTCATCTTGAGATACAGGTACTTGTTTCCCTGTTATTAAGAAAATAACAAGAGCCTCTGGTCATACTTACCTCAGCCCATTCTGTGGAGCCCAGCAGCCCAAACTCTTCTGCGTCCCAGCTGGCAAAAATGATGGTTCTCCTAGGTCTCCAGCCTGCAATCATTGTTAACATACATTAACGTGCCTAAAAATAGAGGACAATTAAGTGAGTCCCTTTTTGTCATCAGCTACCGAGGAAGCATTATTTACCTCTGCTCATCAGTTTTCCAAAACTTTGGACGATTTCTTGCAAAACAGCAGCCCCACTGGTTGGGTCAATTGCTCCAAACATCCAGGAGTCTCGATGACCTCCTAGAATAACGTACCTATCTGCAAAATAATGCATTCAAAAGAACCACAACTTTGAATACATTACAAAGAGTTGCATTTTAGGTTTTTAAATTAAACTTCCTTTTGGTTGAGATTCTTCCAGAGGGGGAAAAATAAAAATCAACACTATAGAGATTCCTTTTAGAGTCGTACTATTTTTTTTTTTTCAAACATAGCTGTTTCACATCCGTCAAGGAAAAAGCATCAATTCCTGACTGAAGTTTGTTTTCTCTTACTCTTAAACTTAGTAAAAAGGAAGTGTTTAAAAAAATTCAGACTTACCAGGTTCCACAGATCCTCTGATCGTTCCAATGACATTGTAAATCCTTGTAATTTTATTAGTGTTATGAACGTGCATTCTTACCTTCCTAGAATTTCAAAGGGAATAAGTTACTTCACATGCATTACATCAAACAGTTTTGTTCCACCATCGTATTATGAAAAAATCTCAAAATTACAGAAAACTTTATAACAGGACAATGAATTCCCATATATCCAGCCTAAATTCAATAATCATTAATATTGTTGATGTGTGCAATTTGTAAACGGTTAATGCATTTTACTCCTAAGTACTTTAGCAAGCTTAAAGCCAGATTTTTAAAAACTGAATCTCAATATTTTTATTATTCCTCCCTCATAGCTACATTGTTGATATTTAAAGTCCAATATGTTCGCAAAATGAATTTAAATAAAGTAAAAAAAAAAGTCCAAAATATTCTTATTCAAAATGTCTTAGGTATTCATTCTAAAATTTTTAAATACACTATTAATTACAAAAATAAGGAAGGCAGCCAATTATGTGTTAGAGGACAAACAAGCTTTTTAAAAATGTGTCTTTGTGGGCAGCCCCGGTGGCACAGCAGTTTGGCGCCGCCTGCAGCCTGGGGTGTGATCCTGGAGACCTGGGATCGAGTCCCACGTCAGGCTCCCTGTGTGGAGCCTGCTTCTCCCTCTGCCTGTGTCTCTGCCTCTCTCTGTGTCTATGAATAAATAAATAAAATCTTAAAAAATAAATAAATAAATAAATAAATAAATAAATAAATAAATAAATAAATAAATAAATAAATGTCTTTGTATTTACATTAATTCCTGCTGGTCAGTGAGTCAGTGACTTTCTTCAAGACTCTTGAAGCAGAATATCAGTACATTGTTAAATAGCTGGCTGAGTGCTGCCAAAGAGAAACATGGGAAATTTGGGAAGGAAATGGGAATTTGGGAAGCATCGACTAAAATGTACAACTATGTAACGAAACTTTTCTAGCCCAGAAAATCACTGTTGATTCTGATTTGAAATCAGCCTTTTAAATATCCATTCATGAAATGTAATTAACCAAATTATAATTCAAGGGAAAATAAAAATCAGTCACAAATAGTCAGGGGGAAAAAAACCCATTCACATTCTATGAATCCAAAATGACATAGGAAAATGCGGAGTTTCTTTTTCACAAGGAAACAAAACGAATCTTTATCTATGGAGCAGGGTGAGAGAGTAGATAGAGAGGAATCCCAGCAGTTTCTAGTTTGTGGTTATTCATATAGATGGAAGAACCAAGAGGTTGTCAAAACTTGGATACTAAGTGCAGATTTTCGTTTTTCCCCTCTATAAGGATACTGTGCTTCTGATTTCATATACAAATCATGTGCAATATTCAAAGTGCCTTTGGGAAGAATCTAATGGGTATTTTTTTTCCATTTTAAGACATTTAATTCGTTACTGAGAGATAAAAATAGCAAGAAAGCAGAAACATTTTTAGCATGTGTTTCTAAAAATATGAGCCTAAGATCTTTTAGTAAGAAACCCCAAATCATTGATATTATGGCATTAAATGAAGAAAAGAATAATGTTACAAATGAGGAAAAAAATCTATTTTAATCAAAACCTGAAAGCAAACATAGACTATCTGTTCAGACTCTCAGACGAGCTAATCCACATATTTATTTCGTATGTCTTTTCTAGTTTTTAGAATCATTGACTCCAGGAGTTTCTAAAAGAATATCTATGTCTTTGTCCTATTATCACTTCAAATTCATCATCCAAATAAAATGAACTCTACAATGTAAGCTCCAGGGAGGGGGTGTAGGAATTTTGCCTGTTTTGTTCACTGCTGAATCCCCAGTGCCCAGAATGGTAACTGGGTTATAGTAAATGCTCAATAAATATTTGTGAAATGAATGAATATACCCCTGTAAGGGAAAAGTGAGAAAGGCCTTAGCTTATCCGTCACCTCTGCCTACCATTGTCTTTGATGAGACTATTTCAACTCTGTAGAGATCAAATTTAACTTGTAGAAATACCACATCCACTGAAATATACAATGTCTAGTGAATGTTCAATTGATTCCTTCAACGTACAAGAAACAAGTTTTTTTTTGCTATTAAATACTTTCAGTATTCCTGATGAGCTGATTTTTTGGTATCATCACTGAATTCTCCTTTGAACCAATTTCAATTCCTTCATGGTTCTCTTATTAATTAATGAATTAAATGAAAATTTTGGCACATGTTCATTTTATATTTATAGGAGAAACATGGTTTTACTTCTAAAAAAAACATCCTCCAAAATTTTTTGGAAGTCCCATTGAAATGTGCAGTAGATTCACTTCATTGAACCAGTTGCAGGTAACCTAAAACCTAGGTATGTCTTCTTTTGGCTCAGAGGTAAATCACCAGCAGTGACATTTTTACTCTGCTAACTCTATCTCTAACTTTTTTTAAACTATTAAGTTTATAATATTAACTCCAGTATAGTTAACATACAATGTTATATTAGTTTTGGATGTACAATGTAGTGATTCAACAATTCTATACATTACTCAGTGTTCATTGTGGTAAGTAGACTCTTAAACCCCTTCACCCATTTCACCCATCCCCCCACCCACCTCCTTTGGGCAACCATCATTTGTCCTCTGTAGTTAAGAGTGTTTCTTCATTTGTCTTTTTGTGGACTTCTAACTTTATAATGTCTTTCCTACTGATTTTGTGTCTTATATTTCTAGTAGTTTCCTTATGGCAGGTAAATTATTCCCTATTGGTGGGAGCAATGATTAAGAATTTGATTTTAGGTCTTGTCATTTGGTAATCTCTATAAATAATTATCAAGAGGTCTTCTGAGAGAAAAATGACAGAATCCCTGTAGATGGATTAATCAATTATCAAAAGTTCTTCCTGGTGAGAAAGAACAGTTTTGTGTGTGTGTGTGTGTGTGTGTGTGTGTGTGTGTGTGTGTGCGCGCCCATTTTGAGCTCAAATCAATTAAGAATTTTGTGCCCATAGTGAAGAAGAACTTTTTAATATCTAGACTAGAGAATTTGTATATTTACTCTTGAACTGAGATTGTAGAACTAAAGCTATGTGTTTTCTCTGTTCTCTGTGTCACTATGTTTGTTTCTAAATCCGAAAGGCCTTTATCTTTAATTGTGTATGTTAGATTTTCCTGCTGCTATTGATAATAAACTCTCATATACTAAAGTAACTCTGAGTTACAGAGACAAGTAATTACATGAAGTATTTCTAAAATTCCTTTAAAATATTGAACTTCTAATACTTTAAAAGGTCTGAAGTGAGGAACATTTTTACAAAAACTAAGAAAACACTGAGAATCCAAGTTTGCATTGTTAAAGTGTTAGCAAACGAGACTGATTTACTAATTTTGGTTTAATCAAAAGAGCTATATATTCTGATTTATCAGCATTAAATTTCTCTTTCTCTCTCAAGCAAATCAGACTACTTAAAATTCTAAATCATGCCATGGCTGTTTCACAACTCTACACAAGCTGATCTCTCGAACTGCCATTTCCTGCCTGCCTTGATCCAGTGGAAACTTAATCTTTCTATAATACTAAAATCAATGAATATTCTGTGATCACTCCTCTACAACAGTGCTAATTCAGTGAGCCTTACAATAGTTATTTGCTTTTCCATTTTAACTCATTTAACCCACCTACACAGTAAGTAATAAATGTGAGCTCCTTTCTCTCTTCTCTTGTACTCCCTCCCTTAAAGTAAGTTTCAGAATGCTTACATTTGAAATATGGGGTTATCTGAAACACTGTTTTATTTTTTTTTAAATTTTTTATTTATGATAGTCACAGAGAGAGACAGAGAGAGAGGCAGAGGCATAGGCAGAGGGAGAACCAGGCTCCATGCACCGGGAGCCCGACATGGGATTCGTCCCGGGTCTCCAGGATCGCACCCTGGGCCAAAGGCAGGCGCCAAACCGCTGCGCCACCCAGGGATCCCTGAAACACTGTTTTAAAAGTTTAGGTTTAACATTTTAACTACCTACTTCACCTAAACTCAAATGTAGTCATGGTTAAGACTTTGTAAAAATAAAGGTTGTGATCTCACTATTGGAAGAATTCAATATATCATTCCCTCAGTAATTCTTAAGTGATATAAAATGATCAAGTGTTTACTATGAAAAAATGAGAAAAAGATAAGCAAAATATAACATGGCAGAGCAGTTATCTTCACATTTTTCCATTAAGCATATAAAACTTTTCCAGTCTATTAAAGTAATATAAAATTACCTGAAGGACTCATGCCCTGCAAAGCCAGGCCCAATGTTGTAATGCACATTAAGACTTCCCTTCCAGCTGTCATCTGGTGGACCAGTTCCTCCCATGTGACTGTCAAGAGAAAAGGAAAATGACATAAAAAGGCTGAGCATCACAATTTCTTAGAAGAAATCATGAAGTTTGATGAGATATTTCATTTATACATTTAACAAATATTTATTGAGCCAAGTACTGTCAATATTCCCTTTGTGGAACTTACATTTTAGCAAGAGAGCCAAAATTGATTAAGTACTTAATATGTCTGTGATAAGAGGGCTTGGGGGAAAAAAATAGGGAGAGGAAATGAGAAACATCAACCTCCTTCCTTCTGACTTTATGTAGGGAAGCATTAGATATAGGAAATATTGAAAATAGGCAATCCAGGACTGTGTTAATGTGGGGAACCAGCTGCAGAGCCTATCTGAGAACTGAATCTCCTAGCCCTCAGCACACTGGGGATATGGGAGGTCCAGAGTCAGCACACTGATCTTGACCACATTGTTCTCCAGATAAAGCTCCTCTGCTCCCCCCTGCTTGAGTCAATAGCCTATTCTTTTACCTTTTGAAGTAAACATGTTTTTCGCTGCTTCCCAAAGTTAATCATTCCTATAGCCAACCTGCTGACTCTCTTAATAAAAACTGGAGGAGACAAAGCCTTGGGGTCTGAGGTCCCAGTCGGTTTGAGTCAGAGTCTCCGTCCCCCTGGCCCCTAGATTAAAATTCATTGAGACTCCAGGTCTTTCTTCACATCGTCACCTCCAACTATCCTGCATCTGTGGCATGTTAAGGAGAAGAAATTAATTTCTAGAGAAGCTGCTGATTACCTAGTAGGCACTCATAAAGCAATTATTAAATTGTATTGGTACAGACATCTAAAAAAAATAAAAGTTTGGAGATCTGTGAAACAACATCAGTAATATAAATGCAAAAATAGCAAACATTAATTAAATGCTTACTATATTCTAGATACTTTACACGCTTGCATTGAATGTCATCTCCTCCTCCTAATAAACCTATCAAGGAGAAACAATTACTATTCCTCATTTCACAGATAAGAAAACTGAATCAGAGAAATATTAAGTAGCTAGTCCAAGTTCACACATCTAATAAGTGGCAGACACTGTAATATTTTTAAAATACAGGTCAAGTACAAACATCAAATAAATATCAAGAAAATCCAAATATTTGAAAAATCTCCAATCAGTATTTATCTTTGGACACAGTTTTGTAATTAAGACATTCATTTGTACCAGACTAATGGTTTCTTGCTATTTCCTATTGTGCTCTGTTATTCTTACTTGAGGAGCTATTTTGATACAAGACTCTATTAAAAATTCATCTTCCTATTTTGTTCCTTTAAGTTAAAAAAATTTTATTGAGGTATAAGTGACATATAACATTGGTTTCAAGTATACAACTAGACTACTTTTAACATTATTAGATTACGTTGGTTGTAGATGAGAAAATGGACATATTAGTGTAAAATCTTAAATCTCATATCCAATTAGAAAATCATACCGTAGTAATATTTCTGCATCATTATACCCAATAGGATGTACAGGGATCTTGGGGATTCCCACTCCTTCTTTGACATCAAGTCTAAAGGTGTACTCTGCAGAAATTAATTGCACAAAATGAAATCAACTGAAGAATCTGAGCATGGGTATAAAGAAATTTCTTTTATTCCTATCTTAGATTTACTACATGTTTGAAATTATATCAAAATTTAAAGTTCCCTCAAAGCCAATGATTGTTTTACCTAATATGACCTATTTAATTCAACAGTAAGAAATGAAATCATTTAAATTTTAGTGTGAAATCAACTGTAGGTATTATAAATTTCTAATTTTTTTGACATTTCAACAAATTCTCTTGAATTTTATAAGAGTATTCTATTTCCTCATCAATATCTTGAATCCTTTCTAGAGAAGCTTCATTTAACCAGCTGCCTGGAAAACGTGTCCCAAATTCTGAAACTAGGTATAACTGAAAAAAAATTAAAGGGAATTTATGAGATCTTGGAAATAATAAAAATATTTTTCAAATAGTAATATAATATTCTCTTTAAAAAGACTGAAAAGGGGATCCCTGGGTGGCGCAGCGGTTTAGCGCCTGCCTTTGGCCCAGGGCGCGATCCTGGAGACCCGGGATCGAATCCCACGTCGGGCTCCCGGTGCATGGAGCCTGCTTCTCCCTCTGCCTGTGTCTCTGCCTCTCTCTCTCATTCTATGTGACTATCATAAATAAATAAAAATTAAAAAAAAATAATTAATGATATTTAAAAAAAATAAAAATAAAAATAAAAAAATAAAAAGACTGAAAAGTATTGTCAGACTTACAACCTCATTGAGACTTTGGCTTTTAGCCAAAATAGTTCTATAACCTATCTTAGAAACAAAGTAAGATTTCAGTCAAATCACATCATATTCCACCTTAAAACTAGACAAGAGCAAATGGGAAAAGCAGCAGAGAAAAGAACGTAATAAAGATGAGGAGAAATAGGAAACAGCAACATGGTTCTTTGAAAATTGATAAAACTGATTAATCTCTAGCAAATAAGTTCAGGAAAAAAATCCCATGATCAAGAATAAAGAACAGAATATCACTGTAGAACCTGCACATGCATAAGCACACATGAGCATGCACACAAATACACACAGAATGAAAATATTATGAACTCTATTAAATTTAACTTAGATGAATGGACAAAATCCGTGGAAAACAAGTTACCAAAGCTCACCTAACAATACATGAACAACCTAAAGAGCCACATATCTATTTTAAAAGTTGAATTTGTACTCATTTTTACTATCAAATGTGGTATGTAATCATAGATAAAATCTGCATAATCAAAAGCTCTTTGGGAACTTCAGTATCTTTGGGTAAATGGTAAACCTGACAAAAAAAAAAACCTAAAATAAAACCTGCAGCTATATTATACTTAACAGAGAAAGACTGGATTTCTTCTGCTTGAGGAAGGAACAAGGCAAGAACATCTGCTCTAACACCGTTTTTTTTCCAGCAATGTCTGAGACGTACTAGTCAGTATACAATGACAGAGACGTTTAAAAAAGTAAAAGACATCTAGACTAGAAAAAGAGAAATAAAACTGAATTCACAGGAAACATGATCATCTATGTAAAAACTCTGATGGTATCCACAGAAACCTCCTAGAATTACTTAGTAAGTTAAACAAGTTTGCAGGATACAAGATCAATTTATTTCTTCCACAAATACAAAGAATTTACTAGCAATGAACGTATGGAAATTAAAATTTAAAGTGTGTTTTTGAAAAGCATAAAACCAGGAAATGCATATGGATAAATGTGAAAGATGTGCACGATCTGTACAGTGAAACTACAAACATGCTGATATAAATTAAGGAATACCTAAGTAAATGGAGAATTGTGCCATGCAGATCAAAATCTTCAATATTTTATAAGATATCAATTCTCCCCAAATTGACATATAGATTTAATTCAATCTCGAACAAATTCCCAGCATGCTTTTCAGTGCAAATTAATAGGCTGGTTTTAAAATTCACATGGAAAGGACCTAGAATAGCCCCCCCAAAACTTTGAAATAAAATGTAACTTGAAGGAATTACATATCTATTACAATGCAAAATTAAAAAGACTGACCAAACTAAATGTAGTAAGAATATATAGCAAGTGGAACACTCACACACTGCTGCGAGGATGTAAAATGCATAACCACTTCGGAAAACAATTTGAAAATCTCTTCAAAGGGGCACCTGGGTGGCTCAGTGGTTGAGCATCTGCCTTTGGCTCAGGTCGTGATCCTGAGGTCCTGGGATCAAGTCTGACATCAGGCTCCTTGTGCGGAGCCTGTTTCTTCCTCTGCCTAAGTCTCTGCCTCTCTCTCTCTGTGTCTCTCATGAATAAATAAAATCTTTAAAAAAAAAAAAAAAAAGAAAATCTCTTCAAAAGTTAAATATGCATCTATCATATTATCCAGTCATTCCATTTCTATATATTTGCCTATGAGAAATAAAAACATATGTACAAAGATTTGTATACAAGAGTTCATAGCAGCTTTATGTACAAGAGTCTCCAAACTGAAAATAATCCAAATGTCCTACAATAAATGAATAAACAAATAGTATATCCATGCAATGAAATACTGCTCAGCATAAAAAGGAATGAACTACTGACACAGACATCAACACAGATGGATTTCAAAACAATTCTGCTGACAGAAAGCAGATTAGTGGTTGCCTAGGGATTGGCAGGGAGTGGGTAGGAAGGGTTGGGAGGAAAGCATTACAAAGAGAGGAGTGAAAACTTTTTGGGTAATGGATATATTCATTATCTTAATTGTGGAGACAGTTACACAGATGTCAAAACTTTTCACATTTTACATTTTAAACACCAAAAAACTCAGTGGTATTAAAAAAAATACAAATGTACGATCTAGAGAAGCATAAAATCACTAAGCAATTCAGAAAACCAAAGCTCTAGTTTGGTAAAAGCAATATTAGTTTGGGTATGGGGATCTGCATTTCTGCACCTTTACTCAAAGAAGAGGGAAAGTCAACTGACCCTTCCCTCTCCATGTCCACACCTCGTGAAAATTTGAAACAAAAGTATTATGTGGAAAATGTTTTTTTAATTCCTGGTAATAGTTATCCACAATACCGTAGTTGCATACAGTTTTGAGATTATTCTGTAGACGTTTGCTTTCATGACTTCTATAAAAGGCAAGTACTATTTTTTCAAAAATGGGTGAACAGTGACAGGCCCATCCATTACCTTTAGCTGGATAGCCTGGAGTGAGCGGGTCACCAGCACCATTCAAATTTAACACATTCCCTCTCTGCGCTGCAGTTCCAGGAAGGTTCCATCCTTTAGGATATGGCTGTACGGCAGGGGCAAAGTAATCAGCTGGATCTGAGTACAAGATGATTCCTATGGCTCCTGCTAACATGGCATTTTTAACCTGCAGAGGCAATGTGCAATCCATAATGTAGAACTGACAAATGATTAATTCATTTAAGAGAAAAATCGACTTAATAATGTAAGGAACTTAAGACACTACTTTTTATCATGCTGTTACACATTTAGTTCTTTATGCCTCGAGTACAATTTATCTCCTGGGGGAGCTAACAACTCTCATTTATTCTATACAACTCCAAACAAATTATTGTCTCTTCTGTGAAACATTCCTATTGTCACTAAAACTGCAAAATTAATGTCTCCCTTTTTTCTACCTCTTCTATTTTGTACATATTTCTGTTATATTAAAATACTATGACCCATTGTATGTCTTTAAAACATCTTTCTCCCTTGCCAGACTGAGAGTGTTTTTAGAAAACGGACCATGTCTCATTCCCTTTTAACTACCCACCCTCCAAAGTCTAGCACATCATATAAATATTTATAAAACTAAACTAATTTAAGATCTATACAGCGTGTGTGAAAAATTGCCCACTGTGTTTTGTAAACATTTTCTAACAATCCAAATTGACCACAAATAGGAAAATCTTTCCTGCAAGATTCTGAATTCTTTACTACCAGAAATACTGTAGCAAAAGACAGATTACCACCAGTCTTGATTAATGAAAACATATTCATTATTTAGAAAGCTTTCTTACAACATGAATGGGAGTACAATCTGCCACAACTTTTTTGAAGGGCAATTTGATAACGCCTTCCAAAAATTTCAAAGAACATACATGTTGATTCAGCCATCCAATTTCTAGGATTCCATACTACAAAAACCTTTGCATAAATGTTCAAGTGCATACAGACAATGTATGTTCACAATGGATTATTTTTAATAGTAATAAATTCCAGCCAAGCATCGATCAACACAGGAATGGCTAAACTGCTTATCAATTCTAGAAAGTATTATGTACCCATCCAAAATAACAAGGTATTTACCTACTAAGTAGCTATAGAGAATCAATTAAGTACCAATCACTATCATAAGTGCTTTCAAACAAAGTCATTTAGTCTTAAGGATTCTAGGAGATTAGTGGTATTATTAGCATTCCCACTTTATGTATGAGGAAACATGGGCAGAGAAAGATTAAATAACTTGCTCACAGTAAAAGATCTAGAGAACAAGGAACCTAGATGAGACCAGAATCAATGCTGTATGGATCTAGAATCCTATACTCTTAACCACACATTATACAACTCTCAATGTTTCAGCGTGGAGTGATACCCATATATTATTGCTGAGTGGAAAAAAAGTTATATATAGTATTTGATGCCATCTTTGTTAAAGTATAACATGTAGGGATCCCTGGGTGGCGCAGTGGTTTGGCGCCTGCCTTTGGCCCAGGGCGTGATCCTGGAGACCCGGGATCAAATCCCACGTCGGGCTTCCGGTGCATGGAGCCTGCTTCTCCCTCTGCCTATGTTTCTGCCTCTCTCTCTCTCTCTCTGTGACTATCATAAATTAAAAAAAAAAAAAAAAAAAAAAAAAAAAAGTATAACATGTAAAACTAGTATATGGAAAAATTTATATTTATATGTCACAGAATTAGGTCTAAGAAAAACTGTTAAGATTGATCATGTCTGGGCTAATAAAATGGGTAATGTAGGGTAGCTTTCATTTTTCAGTTTACATAAAATCTCGAAAAACAAATTTTGTTTCTGTAGTAAAAGTAACTTCCTTTTCTAGGTATGTGAAGTAACATAAAAACAGATTTCCTGTGCAACCATGACAAATAGGAAGATTTGTTAAATACATATATTGAGGTAATCCTGGAAAACATGATGCAAGCTGATCATTCACATTTAGAGGATATACACTATCCTCTTCTCTCTAGAAAAAGAGGAGATGATACAATACTTTATTTCCTCTGAAGATTTTTCCATATCTTGCAATAACAATCTTGCCACTGCAGTTGATGTTCATCTCTCTTTCCAGTTTGAAAAAGTCTTCAGTACGAGCATAGTTCACATATATGAGATCTCCCTGTAAGAAAAGAAAAAAATTAAAAATATACAGAATACTGCTAATTAAAGAGAAAACAATAGAATAAGTTTGCTCCACAATACCATATCATCAAAAGTTATCTATCCTGGATTGGGCTTGAAAAACAGATCCATGCTAATTCTGTAGAAGTTTTTAGAAGATGTTTCAATACTTTGAAAAGTTAAAAAAAAATGCCAATATATAACACTTTAAGCAGTGTTCTATTTTGAAGAGATTATCAGACTATATGGAGCTGAAGGAAATAAAGATAATTTTAAAAATTCCAACTATATATTTTTTTAATTTTTTAAAAAGATTTTATCTATTTATTCATGAGAGACAGAGAGAGAGAGGCAGAGACATAGGCAGAGGGAGAAGCAGGCTCCCTGCAGGGAGCCCAGTATGGGACTCGATCCCAGGACTCTGGGATCACACCCTGAGCTGAAGGCAGATGCTCAACCACTGAGCCACCCAGGTGCCCCCAACTATGTTTTAAACAATTCCACTTATAACTTCACCACATAATAAAATACCTAGGAATAAACTTAACCAAGGATTTGAAAGACCTATACTCTGAAAATTATAAAATACTGATAAAAGAAATTGAAGACCCAAATAAATGGAAAGATACTTCATGCCCACAGACTGGAATATCATTTCCATACTTAATTAAAATTTAAAATTAAAATTTAAAATTTAAATTAAAATTTCCATACTTTCCAAAGCAATCTACAGATTCTACACAATCCCTATCAAAATACCAACAGCCTTTGTCACAGGACTACAAAAAGTAATACTAAAATTTGTATAAGAACTATAGAAGACCTCCAATAGCCAATGTGAGCAAGGGAAAGAACAAAGCTGAAGGTATCACAATCCCAGATTTCACGATAGACTACAAAGGCATAGTAATCAAAACAGCATAGTAGTGGCATGACAACAGACACAAAGTCCAGAAGTAAACCCACACTTATCCAATCAATCTATGACAAAGGAGGCAAGAATATACAGTGAAGAAAAACAGTCTCTCCAGAATGGTGCTATGAAAATTGGACAGCTATATGCCAAAGAATGAAACCAAGACACTTTTCTCAAACCATCCACAAAAATAAACTAAACATGAGACCTGACACCATAAAACCCCTAGAAGAAAACGTAGGGGAGTAATTTCTTCGACATGAGCCTTAACAACCTTTTTCTAGATATGTCTCCTTGGGGAAGGGAAACAAAAGCAAAAATAAACTATTGGGATTACATCAAAATAAAAAGCTTTTGCATCACTAGAAGAACCATAAACAAAACTAAAAAGGAGAAAGATAGCTGCAAATGATATATCTGGTAAGGGGTTAATATCCAAACTATATAAAGACTTTATATAACCCAATACCAAAAACTAAATAACATACATACATAATCTAATTCAAATGGCTAAATACCTCAATAGACCATTTTCTAAAGAACATAAACAGATTGGCAACAGACACATGAAAACATTCTCAACATTACTAACCATCAGGGAAATGCAAATCAAAACCACAATGAGATATTACCTCACATGGGTCAGAATGGCTAGTATCAAAAAGGTAGTAACAGGTGTTGGCAAAGATGTAGAGAAAAAAGAAATCCTTGCATACTGTTGGTAGGAATGTAAGTTGGTGCGACCACTGTGGAAAACAGTACGGAAGCTCCTCAAAAAGTTAAAAATAGAAATACCATATGATCCAATAATTCTACTACTGGGTACTTCCCGAAAAAAAGCAAAAACACTAATTTAAAAAAATGCACCCTTATATTTACTGCATCATTATTTACCCAAGTGCTCATTGATAGATGAATGGATAAGGAAGAAGTGGTGTATGTGTGTTACTCAGCCATAAAAAAAGCGTGAGATCTTGCCATTTGCAACATGGATAGACCTAGAGGGTATTATGCTAAGAGAAATAAGTCTGAGAAAGACAAATGCCATATGATTTCAATTACATGCAGAATCTAAGCAAAAAAACAGACTCTAAAATACAAAACAAGCTGAGGGTTGCCAGAGAAGAGACAGATTGAAGGGGGAGAGGCGAGTGAAACAAAGGGGATTTTTGTTTTTTTTTTACAAAGAGGATTTTTAAAAGGAAAAAGAAATCCTAAACATGTTTAATTTTCAAACATAGTATTAATTTAAGAACTTCTATGGTATGATCTATAAAACCAGTTCTATAAATCTATGAAAAAAAAATCAAACTATAAACAAAAGAAAAGAGCTTATAAAAACATCTACTGACATAACTAAATTAAAGATGAGTTCAGCAGCTTCTTTGTTATTTCAGAGCGGCATCTGCTTCATCAGGCTATGATTTTTATGTATTTCTTTTTTTTTTTCCCTCAAATTATTTTTAGAAAGGGTGTTCATAGGACTGAATCTCAAAATGTGGATCAGCATGAATGATTCACCTAATCTTCTTGGTTTTAGTCCTCTACATAGGCTTTAAATAACAAAGGAAGGCTTAAAGAATTGAGTAAACAAGTCTTGGTTTACCTCTGGTATGCCTTGGGCTGAGAAAGCGTTATATGGTGGAACAATATTTGTAACATTCTCATATCCATCTGGTGGTGGCTCAAGATAGGAGGTATTGAAAATCTAGCAAGAATTGGAACACATGCAGTTGGAGAGAAACATTCCAGATTGTTATTAAAGAATAATGCCCTCAAGTATACACTTACGACAGAATATTCTAAAACTAGGCTCAATAATTAATCAGGTAAATTCCACTGGCAACAGTGAAGAAGAGCTTTATTATTATTACTGCCTTCAAAATAGTAGCAACTTCTAGAAATACATGCAGTCTCAGGTGACTAGAAGTTCCCACATAAAAACAGGGCTGTGAAGGTGACACCCCCATGATTTTCCTCCTCCTGTTCCAATGATTCCTTTCCAATTTTTTTGGACCTCTTTTAATTCAAATGTATTTAAATAATGTTTCCTGTGTTTTATCCCCAGTCCACTGTCTGCCTCATTTTATACTCCCTTCCTATGAGATTTCATTGACTCCCAAAATTTTGTCCATAGCCCAAATGCTTAGAAAGCTTTCCTTTTCAGATACGTGTATTTAAGGGCCTGACGGTTATTTCAGCTGGGATGTCCAAACTCAACATGTCAAATTTTGAATTTATCATCCCTCACCACAGGCCTACTTCTTGCTTGGCATTCCTTGCTATTTTGAATTGCATCATTACTCAGATACCCATTCCAGCCACATAGGAGTCATCCTGAACTCTGTCTTCATATCCTTCCTCCAATTAATTACTAATCAATTCCCACTAATGTTGCTTCCTAATTACTTCTTAGATCATCCTTCCTCATTCCTACTAACATCGTCATTTAGGGCTTCATCATCTTTCACCTAGACTATTCTCTTAAGACTTGAACTTTTTACCTAGTCAAGGTCTAACCTGCAGATGATCCAAACTATCTAAAGAATGCCTCTCTAGCCATATTCTTCCATTGCTTAGGACTTGTCAATGGTTTCCATTGACTGAAGTTGGATTCTAAGCCCCTTAGGACAATGTATAAGCCCTCCTATGATCTGTCCCCAAAACATAAATACTGGTTTATCTCTTATTGTGGCCTACTTTATACTTCACATTTTTGAAATACAGAAAATGTTTAAATTCCTCAATAATACTAAGGTAGTTATAGGTCTCCAAACGTTAGCTGGTATTTTTTTCTGCCTTGAATTCTTTTCCTTTGTTTTTTCATGTTGTTAAATCCTTAGGATCTTTCATGACTCACATATCAGGAAAGTTTTCTTTCAAGAAGCCTAATCTAAGTCCATGCTAGTTGAAGTGAAACTTTTCTGTGTAAAGAACCCAAACCATACTCTTCATAATACTTAACCATATCGATTTAAAATTATGTGTTCCAACATCTGCCCTGCCTTAGTTAAAGCAAAGGAATCATGTTCCTAGGCTTCCTTCTGGCTTCAAGATTTAGCACTGTGCCTAACACAGTAAACACTGAATAATTAGTTTACAACTTATCAACTCTTCTAAAAAGTAGGAGTTCCACTGCACTATTACCAAATTTCTGTTTTTACTTGACCCTGTATCCCAATTCACATAAACTGGGGTTACAAAATACAAAGAGTACCAATAATTCCACATCACCTCAATCCCATGTTCATCCATGACTGATATATAGTTCGCATTTGTCTCATTGGGGTAGGATAGGAGGACATCATAATGAACCAACTTGGCGGAATCCAGTCCAAATTTCTTCCACTGGGTTTGGATTTTCTTAGCAAGAAGTAAATTTTGTTCTGTTCCTGCCAGATGAGGAAGCTTTGTAAAAGAACTACATGAAAATAAAATACAAGTGGGAGTTAAAGACCATATTCAGACAATATGCCTAAGGATTATTCTAGAAGCATCCCTCGTCTTTTAGGTATTATCATTTCTACATCAAAGATTAAAAAATAGCTAGCAATAGCAAATTATAGGTATGCCAATTTAAAAATTATTTGTAACTACGATTTTCACATTATGCTTCCCCAGAAAAGAACATATTCCATGGTAAACACATGTAATCAGCAGGTATGAGAAGACACCTTGGAAGAAAGTCAGGCCTCTATACCACTGGTGCTTCTCCTTGCTCATCATCAGTTAGGACATTTTGGGCAGCAGGGGGCCGTTCATCATGTTTGCCATAGACCAGCTGGGCAATCTAATGTATACCTCAACTGTTGTCTTGTTATGTCTATTCAATTGTGTAATAATTTCACTGAGGTTAAAAGTCCATACATTTTCATTTTATATTACCTTCCTCCCTGTTACCTGGAAATTATACAACATATTTATTTAACTGAATTTAGGCAATGTTCTCTTGGTTCTGAGTATAAACGTGTTGTAGCATTTAAGTGGCCTCACAAAAGTAGTTTTTATATAGATTCATTTTACATGAGAGTAAATAATATTTTTAAAATATTTTCTCACCCCTCCCACTCTCCACCCTACCCTCCCTTTCAGTAAAATAATAATACTTCTCTAAATTGGGTTTTTAATCAACCATGGGACAACCAACAAAAGACAGGCAGTAAAGGATAATTGACATTCACTGAAAACTGCATGCCAGACATGTGACCAGGCACTTTCACCTGGGTCAACTCAATGAATCTTCCCAACCCTTCTCCCATTGTCCTCATTTTGCAAATAAGGAAATTGAGAGAATAGTTAAATAACTTGTTCATAACTTCATAGTCATTAAATTCTGGGACTAAAATACAAAAGTCATAGTTGTCTGACCTTGAGAAACAGCGATAATTTGAAATCATTCAACTGATATTATTTAATTGCCTGAACTCCTTGTATTGCTCCCTACACTGTGCATTTTTATAAAGTTCACACTCAAACATGGTGTATTGGTGTATACACCAATGGTGTATCTTTTTCATCTGACCCACACTTCTACCTTTCCATTTTCATTTCCCACCACTCTGTGTATAAAATTCTCCACCCTAAAGCATTTGGTAGACTCCTTTTTCTCCTGCAGCAACTACCTACTACCTTTGCACAAGGTCTTCTCTGAGACATAAATACTGTCCCACCTACTTGAGTCTCTATCACCACTTCTTTCATTCCATTTTCCCACTGCAAGCTATTCATTATCCATTAGGACTCCTCCAGTATCTTCTCTGTGCAGTTTTCCCTTTCTAGATCATTAAATGAAATCTACAGGTTATGGATATTGAATACCTTACAAAAGTTGTTTTAAAAAATATTATTTTATTTATAGACAGAAGTTATTTCTTATGCATTTAAAAAGTAGGGCTTGAGATATTTCTACTTTATATAATTTATTGTTTTATTTTCTACAGTAAGCAGATAACATTCTTATAATTAATAATGAAGGATTAACCATGAACTTTTGCCGTCCATCTTTTAAAGAACCCACTAATGGGAGCCTGGGTGGATCAGTCAGTGAAGCATCAGACTCTTGATTTCAGCTTAGGTCATGATCTCAGGGTTGTGAGATTGAGCCTCCTGTCAGGCTCTGTGCTGGTCATGGAACCTGCTTAAGATTCTTTCTCTTTCTCTCCCTCAGCCCCTTGGCCTCTCCTCCTCATCCCACATATTTACTCGCATGCGTGTGCCCTCTTTCTCTCACTCTTAAAAAAGAAAGAACCCACTGAAATGGAATAAAGAAGTGGAAAAAAAAAAAGAGCCACAGATATAACATCCTTTAGTTCATTTCTAAATTTCTCGTTATGGTCCCAAGGTGGGTACAGTTCCAGATATCATATACTCACACTGCAATGCTCAGGAGAAACATGTACAAACAAGAACATCTATTTCCTCTTCTGTGTTCCTTTTAACAGAGGAAAACTTACAGTAGAAGATCACAGAAACTTCCCTCTCATTTCATTGATCATAGTAGAATATATACCTCTTCTCAAATGAAAGAAACATCACCAGAAGGAAGAGTTATAATGACTGGATTATGGATCAGTCAAGATACTCCTGGGCTGGAAAGGAGATAAACCTTACTGAATACATGAAGGAGAATGAATACTCAACAGTTGAGGCTGGGGAGATATCAAATTCTTCCCACTACAATAGAATCAAGAACCCAATCTTGAACACCTCTCCTTCCTGGGCTCTTTCACTGATCATAAACCTTCTACAAGTATGATCAACAATTCTTAAAAAAAAAAAATTCTTTTACCCTCAGCCACCATTCTGAATGATTGCTTGACTTCCTTGCCTTAACTGGTTTCCTCGGAGGACCCTGCTCACTTGCAAGCTGTTTTATTTCCCATGCCCCCACATATCTCAGGGCTAGAAGATGTGCTAGGAGTTCTTTCAAAAATAATGATTCTTTCAGGGGGCACCTGGGTGGCTCAGTGGTTGAGTATTTGCCTTTGGCTCGGGTTGTGATCCTGGCCCTACTTCTCCCTTATGTGTCTGTCTCTCTCTCTCTCATAAATAAAATATTTAAAAAGAAAAAAAGAAAATCATTTAAAAAAATAATGACTCTTTTAAATCTCACACCAAAAGTTACCACCTATACCTTCTGGAAGCTGTTAAACCTGTGGGTCAGAGGGATCCCTGGGTGGCTCAGTGGTTTAACACCTGCCTTTGGCCCAGGATGTGATCCTGGAGTCCCGGGATTGAGTCCCGGGTCGGGCTCCTGGCATGGAGCCTGCTTCTCCCTCTGCCTGTGTCTCTGCCCCACTCCCTATCATGAATAAATAAATAAAATCTTTAAAAAAAAAGAAAAAAAAAACTGTGGGTCACTCTTCCTCATTCATTAAAATCTTGAGTTCCTAATTCAATTCAATGTATCTCACTCTACATCTATTCTTGTCATTCTTGGTGTACAATTTCTGTATTCAGTTGGAGGTAAAGAAAAAAGCCAACTCTAAAAATACAATCAATTGTGAAAATGTCAATGTTACCCAGGGCAATTTACACGTTTAATGCAATCCCTATCAAAATACCATGGACTTTCTTCAGAGACTTAGAACAAATTATTTTAAGATTTGTGTAGAATCAGAAAAGACCCCGAATAGCCAGGGGAATTTTAAAAAAGAAAACCATATCTGGGGGCATCACAATGCCAGATTTCAGGTTGTACTACAAAGCTGTGGTCATCAAGACAGTGTGGTACTGGCACAAAAACAGACACATAGATCAATGGAACAGAATAGAGAACCCAGAAGTGGACCCTCAACTTTATGGTCAACTAATATTCGATAAAGGAGGAAAGACGATCCACTGGAAGAAAGACAGTCTCTTCAATAAATGGTGCTGGGAAAATTGGACATCCACATGCAGAAGAATGAAACTGGACCACTCTCTTGCACCATACACAAAGATAAACTCAAAATGGATGAAAGATCTAAATGTGAGACAAGATTCCATCAAAATCCCAGAGGAGAACACAGGCAACACCCTTTTTGAACTTGGCCACCGTAACTTCTTGCAAGATACATCCACGAAAGCAAAAGAAACAAAAGCAAAAATGAACTATTGGGACTTCATCAAGATAAGAAGCTTTTGCACAGCAAAGGATACAGTCAAAAACTCAAAGACAACCTACGGAATGGGATAAGATATTTGCAAATAACATATCAGATAAAGGGCTAGTTTCCAAAATCTATAAAGAACTTATTAAACTCAACAGCAAAGAAACAAACAATCCAATCATGAAATGGGCAAAAGACATGAAAGAAATCTCACAGAGGAAGACATAGACATGGCCAACATGCACATGAGAAAATGCTCTGCATCTCTTGCCATCAGGGAAATACAAATCAAAACCACAATGAGATCCCACCTCACACCAGTGAGAAGGGGGAAAATTAAAAAGGCAGGAAACAACAAATGTTGGAGAGGATGTGGAGAAAAGGGAACCCTCTTACACTGTTGGTGGGAATGTGAACTGGTGCAGCCACTCTGGAAAACTGTGTGGAGGTTCCTCAAAGAATTAAAAATAGATCTGCCCTACGACCCAGCAATTGCACTGTTAGGGATTTACCCCAAAGATTCAGATGCAATGAAACGCCGGGACACCTGCACCCCGATGTTTCTAGCAGCCATGTCCACAATAGCCAAACTGTGGAAGGAGCCTCGGTGTCCATCAAAAGATGAATGGATAAAGAAGATGTGGTCTATGTATACAATGGAATATTACTCAGCCATTAGAAACGACAAATACCCACCATTTGCTTCAACGTGGATGGAACTGGAGGGTATTATGCTGAGTGAAGTAAGTCAATCAGAGAAGGACAAACAGTGTATGTTCTCATTCATTTGGGGAATATGAATAATAGTGAAAGGGAATATAAGGGAAGGGAGAAGAAATGTGGGGGAAATATCAGAAAGGGAGACAGAACATAAAGGCTTCTAACTCTGGGAAATGAACTAGGGGTGGTGGAGGGGGAGGAGGGCGGGGGGTGGGGGTGAATGGGTGACGGGCACTGAGGGGGACACTTGACGGGATGAGCACTGGGTGTTATTCTGTATGTTGGTAAATCGAACACCAATAAAAATTAATTTATTAAAAAAAACCCAAAAAAACAAAAATACAATCATATAAACTATTACTTATCACCTTATGCTGTATTACATATTAAAGGGTAATAGAGATAAAATAAACATTTTATTATTTTGAACATTAGAACATTACTTAGTTTACTAAGAACTAAGAACATTACTTAGAACATTACTAAGTTTTGCTTCTGACATGTAATTTTCTAGGTGACTTCTTTCAGACACATCATGATACACTGCAGACAGAGTTCAACAGTGTTAACATTATACCTGATATTTTAAATTGTGTAAAAGACAAGCATTCTGTTTTAACTGATAAAATATTCTGCCATTTTACTGCATTGGAGGAAAAATAAAGACTGAGTCACTCTTTAAATGACATGCATCCTAACTGCCTACTGATTATTTTATCTCTAAATGAGCACTTCAAAACTTGCTTCCTAATATCTAATGCACCTCCATCATAAATCAGCTCAATTTCATAAAATAGTATAGTCGTCTTCATACCTTATTACTATAGTTTGCTCTAGTTCATCCATGGAATTTAAGATGGAACTTCATGACCTCATTAAATCAGGAGGAAACACACCATACTGTATTCACTCTATTTGATTCTAGGGTTTAAATGGAGTCTTGGAAGGGGAAAAGAGAATAGTGCAGAAAATTTTAAGAAATAATGAGTAAAACCTTCCTACCTTAGTGAAAGATATAAGTTTACAAAGTCAAGAATCTCAGAGGGCCATAAACAGAATAAATTTGACTAAAACTATACCTAGGCACATAGTAAAACTACTCAAAATTAAAGACAAAATGATGTATGTTATATAACTTGAATAACTATAAACTTCTCATAAGATGCCAATATTAGACAGAAGACAATGAAAAAGCATTGAAATTTCTGAAAGGAGAAGAAAACAAAATCATCTTAAAAGTCCATATCCAGGAAAATTATGCTTCAAAAACTGATTTAGTAAGGATTTTATAGACAGAAAAACTAAGTATTTGTCACCACTGGACCCCACATTATAGAAAATGCTTAAGAAAGTTATTCAGACTAAATAGAAATACCGTGGGATAACCCAAATTTTCAAAAACAAATGAAGATCACTGGAAATAAGATATAAAATGCTAATTTTTAATTGGCTTTCAATACATATGTGGTCAATGAAAAATTACTTTTCAAGGTTTATATTGCATTGTAGATAAGATACTTTTGACAGCTCTAATATAAAGGATAATAGAGGAGAGGATAAATGGCAATATAGAAATGTGAGTTCTCTATTGTATGTTAAGTTGTGCAAAAATAAGAATTGAGTGAAGAGTTATAAGTTATAGATGTATGACATAAGGACCAGAGCATCTACTAAAAAAACAAAAACAAACAAAAAAAAAAAACAATGTAAGAATGTATAAGCAAAAGATTATCTGAAATAAATTTTTACTAAAAAGGTGGCAGAAGATGAGAAGGAACAAAAATAGAGTAAACAGAAAACAATAAATTAGTAGAGCTAAGTTTAACCATATCAATGGTTATATTATTTGTTAAGGGACTAAATACTCAAATTAAAAGGCATAGATTACCAGAAGGAATATAATAGCAAATTGCTACTATCTGCTGTCTACAGAGGATGATACACTTTAAGATGACCAAAATATATTAAATACCACGTGGCAATTAAATGCTCTCTACTGAAGGTACATTTTAATTCTAAACAAACTGGTAGATTAAAAGTAGATGGAAGATCACCATGTAAATGTAAATGTAAGGAGGCTGAAGTGGCAATATTTATACCAAATAACATAGACTTAAAGATAGCAGTTACCAAAGAAAAGGACATTTCATGAAGATAAAAGGGTAATTCTGTCCTATAAATAATCTTCATAATATAAAAAGCAAAAGTTTACATGATTAATGGGAAAAATATACACTTTTGCACTCTTGGAGATTGTGACTCCCTTCTTGATATAATTTGATCCCTAGGCCTCCAAAAATCAGTAAAGGAATCGCTAGATTCCTAACCAGGTAAAGAAAAAAAACATGATCAGAGAAATTGATGCAGAAAAATAACTTTTTGACAGTCAATATCCATTCATGATAAAAATCTTTTAGCAATTTTGAATACAGGGGAATTTCCTTCACTAAATAAAGAGCATTTACAACAAATCTATAGACAGTATCACAATTATGAAACTCTAAATGCTTTCCCTCTAAGATTAGAAACCAACAAAAAAGAAATACTATTGGATTTCAGTCAGCGCAATAAGAACAAAACAAACCCAAGTTTAAAATGCATACAATTTGGAAGGGTAGTAATAAAATTGTCCCTATTTGAAAATAGCATGATTGTCTACATAGAAAATCCCAATGAATCAACAAGAAACTCCTAAAGACATGAGTTCAGAGAGACTACAGGATGCAAAAAACTACAGTTTTTTTTTAATACAAAAAAAATCAACAGTACCTCTATATATTAACAAACATGTGGAAACTGAAATTAAACACAATGACTTACAATTCCTCCAAAGAAAATTAAATACTTGGATGTAAATCGAATAGTACACATCCAGGGTCTGCATCCTGAAAATTACGTTATAAAAGCAAACAAAGAAGACCTAAATAACTGGAGAGATTTACTATGTTTATGGATTAGAAGACTGGACATAGGAAAAATGTCAAGTACCCCCAAATTGTTCTATAAGATTAGTGTAATCATGGTAAAAAAAAAAATTTCAGCAACGTTTTTTGTAGACGTATGTTTATTCTATGTTTTATATGTAAAGGAAAAGGATATGGAATAGCTAAAACAATTGTTTAGAAAAATAAGATGGGAGGAATCATTCTACACATTGCTGAGGCTTACTATATAGCTTCAATAATCAAGACCATGTGGTGCTGGCAGAGAACAGACATACAGATTAATAGAGCAGAATAGAGAATCTAGAAATAAACTCACACAAATATGCCCAACTGATTTTTAACAAAGGTGCAAAGCAATTAAGTGGAAGAATAGTCTTTCAACAAACAGTGCCAAAGCGATTGGACATCCATAGGCAAAAGAATGCACCTCAACCAAACATTATATTTTATGACAAAATTAACTCAAATCACAAAATTAATGTAAAATGTAAAGTATAAAATTTGTGGGCAGAGGGAAGAGAAGGGAAAAGAGATCTAGTTCAAGAGATCTTAGATCTGAACCCAAGTATCTGATCCATAAAAGGAAAAAGCAATAAATTGGACCTCATTAAAATTTAAAACATCTAATCTACAAATAACCTTGTTAAGACATGAAGAGACGGGATTCCTGGGTGGCGCAGTGCTTTAGCGCTTGCCTTTGGCCCAGGGAGCGATCCTGGAGACCTGGGATCCAATCCCGTGTCAGGCTCCCTATATGGAGCCTGCTTCTCCCTCTGCCTCTCTCTGTGTGTGACTATCATGAATAAATAAATAAAATTTTAAAAAAAGACATGAAGAGACAAACAGAAAACTATTTAAATGTCACAAAGACAACAAAAGCCTTATCCAGAAAATATAAAGCACTCTCAAAGTTCAATAGCAAAAATACAAAAAACAGAATTACCCAAATAGAAAATAGGTCAAAGACATGAACAGACATTTCACTGAAGATGGTATATAAATGATGAGCAAGCACCCATTAGGGGCCTGCAAGCTAAAACCACAATGAGGTATCACTATGCACTTATTAGAATTGGTAAAATTAAGAATGATAATGTGAATGGAAAACAGTGATACAGCCATACTAGAAAGCAGTTAAACAAATTCTTGAAATGCTAATGCATTTGCCATACAACTTAGCAATTTTTACCCTTGGGCATTTATGCTGGAGAAATGAAAAACTATGATCACGTAAAACCTGTACACCAATGTTAATAGACAGCATTAATCATAATATCCAAAAACTGAACATAAATGTCCCTCCATTGGTGAAAAGTTAAACTATAGTACCTCCCTCTGACAAATGAATAACGAGACTGAAAGGCTCCATATTTTAAAGATGTCGCTTCTCTTCCAAATTCATCTATAGATTGATGCAACTTTAATAAAAATTCCAGCAGGATTTTTTTGTAGGAATTCAGAAGGTGATTCTAAAATTAACTTGCAAGTGCAAATGGCTTAAAGTAAAAGCAATTTTTAAAAAGAAAAATGTAGGGGATCCCTGGGTGGCGCAGCGGTTTGGCGCCTGCCTTTGGCCCAGGGCGCGATCCTGGAGACCCAGGATCGAATCCCACGTCAGGCTCCTGGTGCATGGGGCCTGCTTCTCCCTCTGCCTGTGTCTCTGCCTCTCTCTCTCTCTGTGTGTGACTATCATAAATAAATAAAAATTAAAAAAAATTTAAAAAAAAAAAAGAAAAATGTATAGGATTAACTACTATAGTTTAACTTTTCACCGATGGAGGGACATTTATGTTCAGTTTTTGGATATTATGATTAATGCTGTCTATTAACATTGGTGTACAGGTTTTACGTGATCATAGTTTTTCATTTCTCCAGCATAAATGCCCAAGGGTAAAAATTGCTAAGTTGTATGGCAAATGCATTCTTAGCATTTCAGGAATTTTGCACTGATCCTTTTCATCTTATTTTGTCTAATTTGTGTTACTTGTATTTGCAATGTGGGACAAAGGTTTAATTTGTGACAGACATTCTGAAACTTTAATCTCCCTTCCCTTAAATCTAATTTTACAACCATCTAAGTCTTCCTGACAGAATGGGACCTTTAAATAAAATTGCTGATTGAACCCAGGCATAAGGAAGAAATAACATTCACTTGCAGTCTAAAGTTACATGTAGTTGAAACATCTCTTAATAAAGCAACCCGGTACTTTTTCTGTAGATGAAGTTAGAGAAGAAACACTCACTCCTGCAAATTCATTTTACCCTGGATAGTTCAGAGGGACATTTTAAGCTACCATAAATCAATGTGAGATCATATAATTTCACACAGATTACCCACATGAATAAAATTAGTTGTAATACACTTCTCCTTTGCAATATTTTAAACATTTTAAGAGCAAACATCAAAACAAACTTACCGAAGAAATGATTTAATATTTTCAGCTTTCATCTCAGATACCAGTTTCCACCGTATACTTTGATGATAGGGGAGTGAAGTGGTGGTTTCTCTCAAAGGCTTAATAAACCAGCCTAGGGGAGAGAATGCACACACATAAACTTACCATATGTACGTAGATAATTGCTTTTGACTTTTATAAAAATTAGAAGCCAAAAAAAAAAAAAAGTCCTTAAATAGCTGAAGGGTAGCTTTACAAAAATGTTCATATTAAACGCAGAAATCCTTCAGATTCTACCATGCAGTGTAATTCTGAGTTGGTTAAAACCAGTGTTATGGGGCAGCCCGGTGGCTCAGCGGTTTAGCGTCGCCTTCAGGCCAGGGCGTGATCCTGGAGACCCGGGATCGAGTCCCGCATCGGGCTCCCTGCATGGAGCCTGCTTCTCCCTCTGCCTGTGTCTCTGCCTCTCTCTCTCTCTCTCTCATGAATAAATAACATCTTAAAAAACAAAACAGAACAGTGTTATCAAAGATATTCTTTTCACTTTCCTACATGAAATGCATCAAGGCAAGGGCCTCTAATTTTCTTGTTCTCCTTGGGGCGATCTAGTCCATAGCCCAATGCCTGACACACAAGAAACCTCACACAAATGTTTAATTAGCAAATGGCTACGGAAGGGCAGTTTCTGCAGTGCGGTCCATGCACTAACAGTGCTTGTAAACGAAACCGCGTTTTCACCCCTGCGGATAGGGACAGCCCTGACCGCAGGGCTCTTGACAAGTGTGCTGAACTCCCTGAACCTTTCATAAACTTGAAGGTCGGTCACACTTCATTAAGAAGGTCAAATGCATTCCGTTCGGTTTCCAGTTGGGCTGGACCCCGTGGAGGTGGCCAGGGGCCGGGGGCTCAGGGAGGCCAGCACGCAGCCCCCCGGGCTTTCTCTCCTTGCTCCCCAGCGTGGCAGGGAGCAGCGCCAGCCCCGCGCCGGGAGGGGGAGCGCACTTACCCGCCATAAAGCCCGCCAGGAAAGACGCCAGCGCTGCAGCCACGCACATCCAAAGGTAGAGACAGGCCCTGGACGTCGCCATGGCTCCCTGGGGACAGAGCTTGGGGTTCCGGAAGGAGCCGGCCTCTAGCCTGCAGACGCAGAGAGCACGATGGAGGCGGTGGTGCCCGCGGGCTTTCTGCGGAGCCCCGCCGCAGCGCCCCCGCCCTCCAGGCCAGGGGGAACAACTACCCGCCCTCTGGTCCCCAGGGGGCCCAAGGGGGGGGGAGAGGAAGTCCGGCAACGGGAGGAAACAGCCTTCCTGCTGGCCTGCAACTTCCCTAATGTTGATTCTGCAAGTAATCAGGACAGTCCGCTGTGGGGAAAGGGAGGAGGTGGCTAATGAACAAAAAATATCCCTAGTGTTTTCCTAAAGAGCTCAACTGTTAACCTTAAAAATGAAACTATGTTATTGTACCAACAAAAATGGGTCGAGAATAGCACAAAATTACAATTCCAAACATGCACACTACTGCAAAACCACAGGCAAGAGGGGAAAACAAAGCAGCTGGACAGTCTTTTATAGAGGAAAGGCATTTCGGAGGGCTCTTGTGAACAAGATGTCCATTGGAGTAACATAGGAGTTTAAAGTACAGCGGCTTTTCATTGGCTGCGTTGTGACAGTCTCTCATTGGCTAAGCTGTTGCTGGGGGAGGAGAAAAACCTTTCTTCCTCCTGCTGGAAAGTAAAGCGGTATCCCCTTGCAAAGGACATCTCTCCTCATTGGCATCTAAAATTGTGGATGAGTGGTAGAGTGTGAGAGCGTCCACCTCTGGCCTCCTCACTCCATTTTAGTGAAGTTTAAGTTTGGAAAGTAGTCAACCAAAATGTTTATTGGCACTTAGTCCTACCTAGAAGAGAAAGGTTCTCCTTTAAAAAACAAACCTGGAGTCATGTATGTTTTCTGGAAGTCTCCACTTAAAGCAACGTTGAGAGCAGATAAATGGATACAGCAAGAGCCACTGAAAGAATTAACAAAATGCATTTGGGAAGATACAGTGAAGGTATAAACATGAAGCAGTAGCAGATGAACTTGTTGCGAAACTTCAAAGATTTTTAAAAATGGTATTGTTTTCTCAAAAGGACTCTTCGGAAGCAAATGTGTTATCAATAATATAGATGTAAAGCTGTAAATTCAAAAGCCTTGAATTTGGGTAAGAACCAGGAGTTTGGTTGCAGTTCAGAATAAAGACTTTTGTGAATACTAACCTTGTCATCCTTCAGAGAAAGCTCACCGGATCACAAGGTTGTTTCCAAAAGACCATAGTAAAAAGATGACATTTACCTTTTCACAAGAGTTGGGAGAAAAAAAAGCATTTTCTTTCCATAAGAGAAAGCCGCAGCAAACAGTGAGAAAAAGGGATACAGTTATGGTCTGGACACCTTGGGATAGCTGTCTTATCAGATGTCATCTGCTTCAATTCCAGGAAATCTTCACTTTCAGGTCACCAGTTGGTGTGCAGCTCCAGTCAGGGTTTGGAGCTTTCTTTAGATATGTCACCTTGAACCCAAGAATCTATTCCCCGGTCCAAGGGTTGGTTAGCAGTTCCTGATAAGGGCCCTTCCAGTGAGGTTGAAGAGAGTCTCTCTGGAAAGGTCTATTCCAATAGATGAAATCTCCAGGTGGCAGAGCACTTGAGGTCTGTCTTACATGTACTTGAGTACATGATGTAAAGATTGCTCTACCAAAGCATGGTTATTTTCAAGAGAAGCAACAAGGCCTTTACAATATTAAAGAGGATCCCCTTTTATCAACTGAGTCAGAGGAGGCAGGGGCCAAGTGCATAGGACATCCTTTGATCATTTCAAATGTTGAGAGTCTAGGAGTCCCAAAGCGGGTGCATCTGCAATTTAGAAGACCAACAGGAATGCTTTCAGCCAAGATATTTGGAGGCCCTGTATAAATTCTGTCAATTAATGCTGTTAGTGCAACCAGTTAACCCTGAGGATTGAAGATGGTACACGCAATCAAAGTTGTTACACTGGCCAGACAGCACAGACATGCTGAAGCACCTGACAGGTAAAATGAGCTCCTCAATCACTATGAAGTTCAAGAGGGATTCCCCAGGGAGGGATAATCTTCTAACAGAATTTAAGCCATAGAATAAGCATTTGGCCTGTCTACAAGGAAAAGGCTTTATTCCTATGAGAAAACCATAATTAAAACCTTTATATTCGTGGAACAGGGAAGCTGTATGAAGTTCATCTGTGTGAATTGGTTTTTTTGTATTACACTTTGGACAGGTGAGATAATCAAGGTAGGTGCTTTTTGTAGCCTTATTAATATTTCCCCACTAACATTCCCAAACACTATTATTTTGCCAGTAGACCAATGGTTTAATGCATGTTCAACAGTAAGTGGTAGGAATTCTAGGACTTCTCGCAAGGCACGATTGTTGTGTCTAAACCAGAGTAATCTTTTTTTTTTTTTAATCAAACCAATAATTATCAGAGTTCCAATATTTTTCCCTCTAAGGCCAATTGTTGGATAGCTCATTTCATTTTCTCCAATTCATCATTTGAGAAAACATCCCTTTGAACCATAACAGAGGTTTGGGTCTTGGTTTCGCTGAGAACAGCATTTTGGTAGAAATATCAGTGGAATGGTTTCCTTTGGATTCTAGAAGTAAACTCTGAAAGGCCCAGGAAGTGTAGTAATAGCTAGAGCTGCCGGCAAAAGTATGACATCTAATAAATTTGGGACCTAAGAGCTATTTTTTCTTTTATTGCCATTGGAGGTAAGGAAACTTCATTGTTTCCATAACGTTCTAAATTCATGAGCTACTCGAAAGGCATACTGACTATTGGTTATAAATGTTTGTGGTTCTACCCTTGGTTAAGGTACAAGCCCAAGTAAGGCTTATACCTAAACCTGCTGGCCAAAATAGCCACAGGTAAAGGTATGGACTCAATGACTTCCAAAGGAGTTGCAATAGCACACCCAACACAATATTTACCATATGCATCCTTTAAATAAGAAACCATTATTAAACCATGAAAAATCTGAATCAGTTAGGAGTTTCCTGTAAATTTTCACAAGGAGGCAAATGCGATCTGTCAGCATTAAGCAGTCATGAGGGATTTCATCCATGAAGCAGAGGAGAATAGCAAGGCTAAGGTTACTACAGCGATAAGAATTACATGAGGAGCGGTTAGCAGGAGGATGACCTACAAAGTAAAGCAACTGATTTGAGTGTTGAGTGTAAGGAGAATCAGGGAGTGGTGGGGGGCTTCTGCAGGATGGCTAAAGTGGATCTTGTGATTATTTCTCCAGAGTGGCCTTAACCAAAAGGTCTGTGGGAGGAAGGACTCTAATTAATCTTTATTAATTCTGAGGAGATATTTCTAATGGATCTGTCTGAATCTTGATGGGAAATGCACTATGGATTCTGCCAATATAATTTGAAGAGTTTTCCCATAAAGAGGATGATAGCGGATCCAATAAGAACAAATGATCATGGTCTCCAGACTCAGCTATAATGGTATCAGAAACAGAACAAATAAGAGCTAGTGAAGCGTTATTTAATTTCCCTGACTGGCTATTTAGATTACTACAGTCAAATTCTAGAATTATTTCCTTTTGAGAGAAAAATTCCAGTAGGATTATTTTCTAAGAAATTGTGGCCCACTAAATGAATAAGGTTAGAGGAACTAAGCAGAAGAGCATGTATCTCACAAAGGATCTAGACAAAAGGAGAGGCAGACAGACAGGAACCTGAGATTTATTAAAGACCCTCACTATTTGAACTATTTTTTAAAAAAGATTTTATTTATTTATTCATCAGAGACGAGAGATAAACCAGTTTATTTTTTTTAATTTTTTATTTATGATAGTCACACACACAAAGAGAGAGAGAGAGAGAGAGAGGCAGAGACACAGGCAGAGGGAGAAGCAGGCCCCATGCACCAAGAGCCCGACGTGGGACTCGATCCCGGTTCTCCAGGATCGCACCCTGGGCCAAAGGCAGGCGCTAAACCGCTGCACCACCCAGGGATCCCGGATAAACCAGTTTAGCGCCACCTTCAGCCCAGGGCATGATCCTGGAGGCCCGGAATCAATGGCACTGGAATGCTTCAATTTATAACAGTCTTTTTTTTCCAATGTCCTGGTCCTTTGCAGTAATAGCAGAAACTAGGAGTTTTTTGTCGTGGAGGAGCCTTCATTTTCCAGAACTGAAAATTGAGAATTGTAGCCATCTGTCTTTTAGGTGACTTATCTGGGATATGAGTAAGCTAGTTTGCCAACGAAGTTTGGAGGGGACACAGTTTCCCACTCCATCATGGTCCTTTTTTTTTTTTTTAAGATTTTATTTATTTATTCATGAGACACACACAGAGAGAGGCAGAGACATAAGCAGAGGGAGAAACAGACTCCCTCTGGGGAGCCTGATGCCCAGGACCCCAGGATCATGACCTGAGCCAAAGGCAGATGCTCAACCACTGAGACACCGAGGTGGCCCCTATCACAATCCTTTTAACTAAAAGAGAAAGAGCCTCTTTCAGCCCATTAACAAGCAGAATTAAATGCTACCCAGGTGGATTTAACACCTAAACAAAGACCAAAATTTCCTTTAAAGACAATTTGCAGATGTCTGTAATAGATACTAACGGTTTCACCAGGCTTTTGTGTACAAACATGAATCCTGTACTATTTAACAGGCTTAGGAAGGGCTACTCTAACTGCTTGGTGTAGATTTCCTGGGTGTGTTCAAGCATTTTGCCACAAGTTTGGGTTTGTTTCTCCAAATCCCTTTCAGGATGTTCTCCCATTGAGCTAATTTTACCTAGTTACTTGGCCTGGCCCTCACCAATAGGCATGTGGATGGATATAAATCTGAGAAATCAGGTGGTAAGTTTGAATACCTATGCTATATTCTTAAGCAAACCTAGAGGGGGCTCCTGGGTCACTTTAGGAAACTGGCTCGAAATTGAGCCTTATTCCAGGGAACTTAAGACCCTTGGGGTTTATTTAGCACCTCAGAAGACTGAACTTTATAGGGTAGATTTTAATACCTTCAGGAGAGGAAGGACTGGGAAGAGATTCAGAAGAAAAAGGAAGTTCAACAGAAGGATTAGAATGGGGAGGGGGCATATACAGGAGGATGGGCTGGCACAAAGGAACAGAGGACAAAGGACATGCACACAAGGTGGAGGCAATGCATCTGGAGACAGAAGAGGAGGAAAGGAAAAATAATCCTCAGAAGCCATTTCGATTTATTTCAATCATTT